TTCACCAGTAGTGCCTACTGCTTATATCTCTTGATAAAATGAATGTAACAGAATAAGTTACAATCCAAATTATCAAACCATTCTATAGGCTATTAGCTTTATACAAGGCCTTTCTTGACTCCTAATTGAAAGCACCAGTATATATAAGAAAAAATCCAATCATTATTTTATTAACACAAGCTATAAAGACACTCATAAATGAAGATCTTTGAAAAGTCATGGGTTTTAATGAGTTCTAAAATTAAACCAAAGTTATATTAACAACATTGCAACAAAATAGATAATGTAACATCAATGTTGTAATACGAGATGAAAAAAGATCAGTATCTTCATTATTTCGTATTGCATTCAAGGTGAGATAGTCTGAGCTGCGGTCAAAAGATATTTGAGAACACTCACAGATGCATATATAGATCTTTTAGCTGGTTTTATCTCACATTATCTTAGGCATTTTAGGAATAACACACTTAAAGGGACACTGTAGGCAGTGTGACTGCTTTATCTAATTGAAATGGTTATAGTATATGGAGTCTCCTGGCGATATCCTTCTATACAGCATTAAAACCATTTTTTTTTTACAATGTATGGTTTTTATTAAAGGTTATGCATGCATACAAGACATTACAGAGAAATACCGTGTACATTGCGAATTATATGATTTGAACAGCATAAACATCAGGTTGACATAAGCGATGACAAATGAGTTACTTGTGATACACATTGACATGTTGAGTAATGACATTGTTCATTAATCGTTTGCAATAACATGTACTCTGCTATAGTTGCAGCTTGAGTTATACCAGTGTGAAGGAACATTCCTTCCCGACATTTGGTTTATTCAACTGCTGTTCCTTGAGCTTGTCTTGTCAGTGTCCGTAAAGGGTGAGATAAAGAGGGGGAAAGAGTAACAGAATTACCAACAAAAAACAAAAAGAAAAGGTGGAAAGGTATAGTTGTGAGCATGGTATCCTAGGGGGATCTATAAAGTCGTGCATATGCATGTGCCTCCGTGTACCTTGGCGTGTCAGTTCCCAGCCAGATCACGGCGCGTGTGGCACCTTTTACATGTACCCTGTCCATATCAGCTTTATATATATGGCACTGGCTCATTAGTATAGGTGGTCAACATTACCTGTGTGTTTTATTTTTTATTTTTTTGTACTATAGTCGCCTCTACCTTAGTTACCATCTAAAATGCGTTTTCTTTCTACTATCCAGCTATTCCAGAGTTTTTTTTGTGTATGCTTAGGTTGCCTATTACCTTACTCATAGTTTTTTCGTACTGATATGTGACTTCCAGTTTTTTCACAACCTCGTCCATTGGTGGAGCAAGTGTGCTTTTCCAATGGAGTGCTACACCTGTTTTTGCTACAGTAAGAAGGTTTTTTATGATAGTTTTGTCTGGGTTTTTGTCCAGTTTAGGGGACATATGCCAGAGATAGGTTTCTGGGATCGGGTCTAGGCGTGTGTTGCTGACCTGCCCTCAGAATCGTTGCAATAGAGTGCAATCCCAGAATATGTGTTTTATCGTACCTGCTTCTGCTCCGCATCTCCAACACATCGGACTAACAATGTCACAAATGCGAGAAAGTCGCTGGTGAACTAGGTACCACCTCATCAGAACCTTGGCGTAGGCCTCCCGGTGTGATAAACTTTTGGAGGCTTGGTTGGTATGTAGGATAGCCTCCTGCCACTGCTCCAAGGAGAAGGCCCTGCCACAATCTCTCTCCCAGGACAACATTTAGTTCAGTTTTTCCCCTTCCCCCTGTTCCGCAATAGAGTTAAAGCATAAGGATAGTGGTCTCACATAGCTCAAAGGTTTCAAGCAATACCTGGCCACTGATGATAGCCTGTCATATTGGCCTGTTTTATGCGTTTGGATTGAATTATGTGTTTGATCCGTAAATAGGTAAATATTTCCATAGGGTGTAGCTTAAATTCGGCTGCTAATACAAGAAATGTTTTAACGCCTTGGGTGTCGCACAAGTCATTTATTATGCAAATGCCTCTCGCCCCATACAGGGAGGTACGGCGAGAGTGTCACCAGTGCCTGGATGGGGGCTAGAGCGCGTAATGTTATGGGGTGAATAAGTGTACTAATCCAACTTTTTCATGAGGATAGCAGAAACTTGGTGGAGGGGAGGATCCTAATGGATGGTGAAGTTGCAATTTCAGGTGTTGTGCAGGACCATAGTAAGTGAGGTATGGACTTCCGACCCGTACATGCTTGCTCAAGTGGTAACCACAATGGGTCTGATGTTGTATGTAACAAGCGCAAGTCCTGGGATAGTGTTTTTTGTTTGATAGTAGCTGCACACATCTGGGATGCCGAGATCACCTTTGAGTCTAGGCAATCACAGTAGGCAATAAGCAATTCGTGGGGGTTTCCTCTTCCAGATATCGTTTTTTGTAGGTTTTTTTGTGATGTTTTTTTAAATCGGAATGGGTAAAGGTATAGAATGTGAAGTAGGATCATCATTTTAATGGTGTTTACACAACCCATATATGATGCCTCTAGACCTCTCCACTTGTCCAACATTGAGCCAAGTTTGTGGACCAGGGGGGAGTGATTTTCTGATGTCAGTAGGTGAGTTGTTTTGGTGAGTTTTACTCCAAGATAGGAAAGTGACGTTTTTCGACAGTTGAAGTTATGTTTACTTTGCAGTATTGATTGGGTCATTGAGGATAGTCCTATTGATAAGGCCTGGATTTTTGATACATTATTTTTATAATATAAGATTTACGGGGGCGGGGCCGGACCACCATGCTGCCCGGTCGCATGCAGGAGAGGCTCCGGAGAAATCTGGCCTCTTAGGCTAAAATTAGCTGCTCTGGCATTTGAGATGAGGCCACAAGACATCCATACGGCGGTGGAGGGAGTGTCAGACCCTGAGATCGGGAGTTTCAAGCCCCCTGAGGGAGGCACAAGGCTTTGGAGAGGGAGGGGAGCGGGGTGGAAGGCCGCCGCCCTGCCTCCAATCCCGGATACCACACGCCAGCTTATTGACAGGCTTGCCGGTCCCGCGTCCCCCCCTCTGGGCCAGGGAGGTCATCCCGGTCCCCACTGCAGAGAACTTGGGCTGTGAGAAGACAGAATATCCACCTGGGCCTACCATGCAAGATGGCGGCGGCCCACAGTGCTCTGCCAACGGCTCTCGCACCACGAAGCCCTGATGAGAGGGAGTTACACCCCTGCCCAAGCAGCAGACCTCACAGCGATTCCAGTGTCGATTCTACTGAATACCCCAGATGGGAAGGGAGTATGTGGAGATGCACGAGTAATGGGACCCTCGGCTCGCAACTGGGAATCTGTGAGAAACTCACCAAACTCCTGACCAAGCAGTGAACCTGGTTGAAAATTAAGCTAATAGTTGACAGTTGGTCTCGCGCCCCAGCAGCAGGACAATATATTAAAAGGGGAGACAGTTGGTCTCCCCCTCCAACAGCAGAGAGTGTGTCAGGGAGAGGAGCTTGTTACCCCCTCTCCCCAGCGGCTGAAAGTATGTATGGGAGAGGAACTTGTCAGTCCCTATCCCCAGCGACAAAAAGTGGGTAAGGGAGATGAACTTGTTACCCCCTCTCCCTAGCGGCAGCCTAGCCCACCAAGGGGAGACAGGAATTTCCACAACAGTGCAGATGGGACCGCGGTCTCTGCACAGGCACCACCGGGGGTAGGGACAGTCGGTCCTGTCCCCCAGCAGCAGGGCTGTGTAGCCAAAGGGGAGACAATCAGTCTCCCCCTCCAGCAGCAGTACCGGGTCCAGAGTGAGGAACTTACTACGCCATTCCCTCGACTGGGTTCCAACCAGGCTACTCACAAGGTAGCGCTGGCAACAGGGCAGAGTACCGCTGGTCTCTGCCCACTCAGCAACCCACTGATCAGGAGCGCTAGTAAACCCCAGAGCCGAGGTGAAGCTCCTGGACAGGGACAAGCGACCCACAACCCCAGGGGTAGCAACTCTTTATTGTGGGTGGGCTATACTGCTGATGGTGTTCTGTGGGTGGGTTGCTGGACTAACCAGGGCACTGACCGACAGGAGGTCAGATACCCTGTTAGTCTGGATGGTAAAGGGGAGAAATGTGGCGAAAGCTGCCTTGCCACTGGACATTGGAGAGGACTGGCTGCCCGCCTCCTACCTGCTGACTATGGCCCCTTGTGAATTTGTACTTTTAAATGCAATATTTGGGCATGTGGTATTTTATATTGCTGCTACTGGCCCTTTAAGGGCCATCCGTGGACATATTATGACTGTTAGGAACAATGCCCTTTAAGACTGTGTAGCAGGTTGCATTCAGGCTGTCTTTAATATTATGTGTTCGGTAAACGGTGTTATGTGTATGCAGCATTCCCCTGATTGTTCAGTAGAATCACTCCATTCATTATATTGAGTGAAACTACCGAACAACCAGACCACCCTGGAGTTGCAAACGGGTAATTGGCAATCTATGTAATGTGTTCTTTGTCCTCTGGGTGGCCGCCATTCGGGAAACGAACACGTGGCAGCGGCCATTGTAAACTCCCGAACAGCGTCGGGTGTCTGGAACTAAAATCGGACACTCGACTAGGCAAACACCGCTGAGACCTCCAGACTTCCATGAATTAGTGTGGAAACTAACGAATGACCCGCCGTTCGGTAGAAAGAACCCCATGAACAAGGGAATTCGTTTAAACCCTCCCCAGGCTCTGTAACCCAGGCAATTCGTGTGTTTCATTCCCTTTTCTGTGACCGACTGCAGGGCCAAAATACATGGAACTATTTTCGGATACTTTTGCCATGCAGTCGGTCAAAACTTTAACCCTCCATAATTCCCGAACCCCTGGTCCGATCTGGGTGATTTTTGGATATGTGTCTCACCCAGATCAGGGCCAACAGGGAATGTAACATTTAAAGGGGTATCCCTATGTTTAGGGGTACATCCAGTATCCCAGGGAATTTGTGTCTGGACTAATGGGATTATGTGTCACACTAAGGGGAGGAGATGTGTGGGAGGTAACTGGTACATTATTGGCTGGGGTACTAATTGTGCTTGGAGTCCTCAGGAAACGCTAGGAGCATCCTTTAATGGAGATCCGTTACAGAGCCACTCCATCACGGAATGTGAACTTTAGGCAACATTATGCAAATATGGAAACAAGCACAGACCACCATACTCACGGGCTCAGCAAGAGACAGCAGCCTACAGGTTAACACAGCCTACTTAAGACCTAATGTCCTCGGACTCACGCTGGAGCCACTCTGCTTACTCTAACTATCTCCCTCTGCTCGGTCTTTCACAGAGGTCTGCTCAACTCCAGTGGTATTTACTTTAACTCAGTTCAATCATACTAGCATGTTACAATTTAATGTTATCTAATAAGCTTAAAAGACCTAGCATTATTTCTGCACCTAAATGCATGTGTTCAGTTCTTATACACATTATACTTATTAAGCAAGCTACTACCATGCCATTAGAAAATAGTTCTCATGTGTTACCTGCATGTTTTACTCAAATCAACTCGCTTCTGTACTGTACGCATGTCTCGCCAAACCTGATGACCAAGCTATTCAGACCTGAGACATGTTGGTCTAGTTAAATCTGTTCCTATACAACAAAAATGTGCAAATTTTCCATGCCACTGTTTAACCAATATGTTTACATTTTTGTATAAATGTATGCTGTGACGTTTGAATCTGCCTTGTACTCACTTGCACAACAGAAAAAAAAAACAAACAAACAAAAAAAATAATAATATGAGATTTACCCGTAAATCTGTGATAGATTAGTTAGGTTTGGGATTGAGTTGTGTGGGTCAGTTAAAAGTAAAACATTGTCTGCAAATATTGCTAACTTCTGTTCCCCGGCAGGTGTAGAAATCCCCTTTATGGTGGAGGACTTTTTGATGTGGTGAATTAAGGGTTTGAGACATAAACTAAAAATTATAAGGGACAGCGGGCAACCCTGACACGTTCCGTTAGTAATATCGAAGGCAGATTACAGAAAGCCTGAGTTAAACACCCTTGCGGTGGGAGTAGAGTATAAAACCAGGACACTCAGTGTCGAGCGCAAGAATTAGCCCGGCTTGTGAACTAGTTTTAACCCAATTGATAAGGTTAATGAAGTGCCTGGTGTTATCTCCCACTTGTTTACCTGAGACGAACCCTGCTTGTTCCGCAGAAACCAAGCTTGTCAGTAGTGGTTTGATTCGTAGAGCTAACAGTTTCGCATACAATTTTATGTTAGCGTTTAGCAGGGATATCGGTCTAAGGTTCGAGCTTATAGTAGGTGGTTTATTGGGCTTGGGTAGTGTCACCATGTGTGCCTCCAGCATTTTACAAAGAACTGTCCCTGAAGTTTTAATGTAGTTAAAGAGATTGGTTAGGTGTGGCGTGACATAGTGTTCTAGTTTAATGTAATAGCAATTGGAAAAGCCATCGAGGCCTGGGGCCTTATGTTTCGGGAGTTATCTAATAGCATTTTGTATTTCATTTTCAGTGAATGGGGCATCCAGGTCTAGGGATTGCTGTTGAGAGATAGAGGGTAGATGTGTTTTGTCTAAGAAATCATGTATTTCAGTGCCTAAGGGTTGGTGTGTATCAGGGTCATATTTCATGTTGTAGATATTTAGAGATTGGCAAAATATTTTGCCAATTCCTCAACAATATCCTGCGGGGTATACAATTTGTTGCCCTTGCTAGAGGTGATGTAGGGGATCTTGGTCTGGAGGTATCTTGCTCGTAATCTATTCGCAAGTAATTTGCCTCCCCTGTTACCAAAGGAGTAGTATAGTTGTTTGAGGGGCCTCATGCGGCGTTAGGTATCGTGTAGTGCTAACAAGTGTAGTTGGGCGATAATCTGAGAGATTTGCTTAGATAGTTTTTTGGATGGTTGTGCTTTATTTTTAGTGTCCAGTTCCGTCAAGTCCCAGAGGAGTTGCACTTTGGTCTCACAGGCTTTACGCTTGGATCTTGATCCTGTCTGGATCAGGAGTCCCTGTAATACTGCCTTGTGGGCAGACCATTGTAAGTCTATAGAGGATTCAGGGGATTTGTTTTCTTTAAAAAAGTTTGCTATGACCAGACCTAGGTTAAGGAGGTAGTTAGTGTTTTCTAATAGGGATTCATTTATTCTCCATTTACCTCTTCCCCTTGTCGGGTATGGTGTTCCAAGCGTGATTTTCAGAGGTGCATGGTCAGGCCAGGTCCTGAGTCCGATGGAAACACCTGATAGATGGGTGACAGTATACTTATCCATTAGGCACATGTCTATACGTTAGTATGTTTTATGGGCATTTGAGAAGGATGAATAATCCCTGGCCAAAGGATACAGGCTGCGCCAAGTGTCATACAGTTTGTGTGTGTGCAGTAGTTTCGCTAAGTGATGGCTAAGGGTCATCGCAGCGGATGGGGGTTTCTTGTTGTGTAATCTTTGAGTGTCTAGTGAGGGGTCGAAGGTGCAATTGAAGTCACCGCATATGAAGGTATGTCCTTTTTTGAGCTTGGTAATCATTTTAAGGGCTTTGCCTAGGAAAGTCTGTTGAGAGTCGTTAGGGGCATACAGTCATGCCACCGTGACCTGTAAACCATTAAGGGAGCCAATTAGGATTAAAAGTCTGCCTCGGGGGTCTTTATATTCATTCTCAGTTTGGAAGACCCAATCTCCGTGAAACAAGATAGACACTCCCTTTGTTTTGTTCGGGGAATAGGCATGGAAAACGTGGGGATATTTCTTAGAGCAAAATGTCGGGGGGGTTGCGTTTGCTTAAATGTGTTTCCTGAAGGCAAATTATAGCAGCCCTGGATTTATGCATTTCTTGGATCGTTAGCCGTCTTTTGTGTGGGCTATTCAGCCCCTTTACATTAAGGGAAAGGATTTTTAGTTCAGGAGCCATAGATTACCGGAGTGGACAGTTATATACCTTACGTGGTCGAGTATGGTCACCCACCCTGTTCAACTGAGCCTGTGTACATTCCATTTGTTGGGAGCCTTGAACCCAAGTAAGCCGTAGTGAGACTTTCCTTTCTACTAGACAGCAACACAGATCCCTTAAGCGCGGTGAGTAGTTATTGCGGGATACATGCATGCACATTGAAGTAAGGGAAAGCATATAAACAGAAAAGAAATACAAAATAAAGTATATACAGCATACTCTTGTGGCAAAGAGTAACCATTGTGGCCGAAGCGGGCGTCGATGTCACCTTCACCTATACCCAATCATGCGGCCTGAGGGGGTTGTACCAATCCGGTTCCCTGACTTATTTTACATAGCTGTGGAATTTTACCCTTGAAAGTGGAAGTAAGAGGTTGAACATCCTCCCCTGTGGTAACTCTAATTTGTTCATTTCTCTCTCTTTATTTTTGTAAATAGATAGGTGTATGAACGGAACTCTAGTTGCATAGATATATCGTGCTCAGCATATTGTATAGACTTGGGCACGATACGAACATGTCCACCAAGATAACAGTGGCAAACTCGACCTGTTGGGGTCCCATCAGCCCACTAATATGGGTATTCTCGACAGCCTCGTATTCTCCCTGGGCTATACCGTTAAGTTACGGCTGGAGTTGCGGTACTATGCTGTGTCACCTTATATGGCATTAATTATGGCCTCGTCTCCCACCACCATTGGGTGCCCTATATATTCTTAAGCCCGTTATAACTACATACTGAAACAAAATATTAGTTGTAACATTAACCAGATTGAACAGACATAACTGTTGCTTCTCATTATGCTAAGTGCACACTAGCTTATTTACTCAAGAGTTCTCCCGTAAGCTATAATTTCACATAATTAATGGCCCATTACACACAGTGGCCTATGGCCTATTATCAGTCCTGGGAGGCACATAACTTCGAAGCAGGCCAAGTATTTGGTATTCCTGGGTGAGGAAACCATCTGCCATTCTCCTGGAACTCTTTGGGAGAGGGTCTATGTTGATTACGGGGTTCCGTCTGTTATAGCAGGCCTCATTCTGTCAGCAATTTGGTTCCGTCTTCTGGCTCTAGGATGACATAGGAGCGGTTGTTTCTCCAGATTACAATCTTTGTGGGGTAGCCCCATTTGTAAGGTATGTCGTGATTCCTGAAAGTCTTGGTAACATTTATGAACCCTTTCTCCCAGCCATTGTCGCGGCTGATAAGTCTGCAAATATGGAGGATAGCTGATAAGGCTTAGGCAGTGCTTGTAGTTTCCTAGCAGCTGGGACGAGAGCGTCCTTAGATTTAAAGTAATGGAATCGTACAATTGTGTCCTTTGGTGTGTTGACAGTGAAGCATGGTGGTCGAAGCAGGCGGTGAACGCAATCTATCATCCAGGCGGATCCTCCAGGCCTGGTGCTAACACGTCGCACAGAGTTGTAATGTACTTGGGCAGGTCTTTGTTGGATACCTTGTCGCTGGATTCCGCCTTGCCCTGTCCTCCATATTAGGCTCTGTATTGTTTCCACCGCCTCGTTATGCGCCGAGCATAATTATTCTATCCTCTGTTCCAATTGGTTGGTTCTGTCTCCAATGTCGTCGATGTCTTTTATCATAAAGTCCTGTTGGAGTGTATGCCTCAGGTCCTGAAACATAGAGTGTAACCTCAGTTTTGTCACTGGCTCATTCAAGTATCGGGGCGACGGGATATCAGGGTCTGGAAGGCTTTCAAAGGCTTGAGATGGTGCCCGTTGGTCGTTGCCATCTTGTAAGGCCTTTTGGCGCTCTTTTTTAGATTGCTAGATCGGGTCTGTTAACTTCCTTTGTTTTGACGGGGCCGTGCTGGGGCAGTAAGTAGCTGTGGTATTCTGTCAGTTCTGGTTGAAGTTCATTCCTGCTGTTTGACGCCGTGGTAGTGAGATGGGACCAGGAGTTCTTACTCCATGCGTCCTCTCGGCTCAGAAGTTGGTCACCCCCTGCCTAAAACCGGTTTTAATGTTTGAATGCTAAATGAGAGTCCCAAGCAGTCTATCCCCTCTGTGATGCTTGGGCTGATGAAGGATCAGTAGTCTGAGCAGCAATGGGTGACTATGATTATTATTATTATGATATTTATAGAGCGCTGTCAAATTCCGCAGCGCTTTACAATGGGTGGACGAACAGACATGTAGTTGTAACCAGACAAGCTGGACACACAGGAACAGAGGGGTTGAGGGCCCTGCTCAATGAGCTTACATGCTAGAGGGAGTGGGGTAAAATGACACAAAAAGGTAAGGATAGTATTAGACTAGTGACAGTTGCAGAAGAGGAATCAGTCAGGAGCTATTAACAGTTTAATTGATATGCTTTTATGAAGAAGTGGGTTTTTAACGATTTTTGGAAGGAGTGGAGACTGGGTGAGCATCTAACGGAGGAGGGAAGCGAGTTCCACAGGAATGGTGCAGCCCTCGAGAAATCTTGAAGACGAGCATCAGATGTGGGAGAACATCAGCTGACACTTTCAGCCTATCATAGCACCCATTGCTGGGATGACTTGGTACAGCTTGGAGAAAGTGTGTAATCTCTGCCTTAGCCATACCTCGAGCAGGGGCGGGGTGTGAGTAACAAGGGACCCTAATTAAGTGTTAAACTGTTTGAAAATGGTTTAACAGTGAATGGAAGAAATTCCAGGCACTATAGCCGATTCAGTGAGATGAAATGGTTATAGTGCCTAGAGTGTCCCTTTAACGTCAAGTAATTTATAAAATCTAAATTTGTTGTGCTAGTAAAATAATTATTATATCAAATATGGGATTTGCCTGGTTATCAATTATTAATTCACTCCGAAGAAACCCAATAGAAGGCAAATTTGCTAAATAAATGAACCTAATTTTGTAGGCTAAACTACAGAAATATTCAGTAGATAACCACTGCCGGCAGACAAGGGATTAAAATAATAATACATTAATAAAATAATATAAACACATTATTAATATAATATAAAGTGAATAAACTAAATGCTTGCTTTAACTATTAAGGCATATAGGACCCGTCCATCAATTAAACCTTTCCTTAATGAAGTTAGTCTTCAAAATGGTACAAACTAAAGCTTTTTGTAATAGTTGCCTCTATTACAATTTGGTATAATAGTAGCCTCTATTACAATATGGAAGTTTAGTTGAACCATTTTGCAAGCAGACTCTCTCTAATTTTATTTGCATATTGTTTATGTTTTTTTTAAATGTGTTTTGTTGAGTACCTCATTCAACATTTTCATCATTCTTTTCATCCATTGCATGCTGACAAGCTGAAATCCAGTCTATATTCCATTTAATTCAGAGTTTTTTTTGCAAAATCCACATGTATACACTGCCAACCCAATGCCTCTCTATGAGAAGCATAGCCTTTAAATCACAGTTCAATGAGAGTGAGACAGGAAACCCTCCTGGTTGCCCATATGACTACCATGACATATAGTAAAAATGCTGAGCTTTTGTAGAATACGGGGTAAAATTAACATGTATGGATTAAAACAATGTTTATTGACAAGTGGCAACTCCAGTACATACTTTAACACACTCTGCAATCACTAATTGAGTTGGGTGCTCAGGAAGAACCACATCTCCCATGATGCTCTGCTAGTGTGATCTGTGGTAAAGTAACATGGGAGTTGTAGTTCTGTGATACCGTGGGGCCTGCCCAGTGTGACGTGGACCGTTTGCCAGGCGTTCCACTGGCAAGGTGGATTTAGTGCCAGCACTGCGTGACGTAGTTTTATCGCGCCGCTTCCAGGCTTCCCAAGGTGTCACTTCCGGGGCACGGTTTGTGAGAAGCCAGTCATCTGTCAGGAAGGCTGAGATCCCTGGGGATCCTTCTACACTGCCAGCCGCCATTCAGACCCCTGCCAGGGGGTCCAAGCGTCCCTTCCCCGAGTGTGAGGATGAGTAACGCCAAGCGGAAAGAGGAGCAGCCCGTGTCCAACGGAGGAGTGAAGGGGAAAGTGTCTCCCTGGAGCAAAGCCTGGAGGGCGGATGCAGCATGGGAAGACAAGGTACTGGTTACTATACATATAACAGGACACAGCAACCTCCCCGGGTTACTATACATATAACAGGACACAGCAACCTCCCCGGGTTACTATACATATAACAGGCAACCTCACCGGGTTATTATACATAGATAGCAACCTCACCGGGTTATTATACATAGAGAGCAACCTCACCGGGTTATTATACATAGAGAGCAACCTCACCGGGTTATTATACATAGAGAGCAACCTCACCGGGTTATTATACATAGAGAGCAACCTCACCAGGTTATTATACACAGAGAGCAACCTCACCGGGTTATTATACATCGATAGCAACCTCACCGGGTTATTATACATCGATAGCAACCTCACCGGGTTATTATACATCGATAGCAACCTCACCGGGTTATTATACATCGATAGCAACCTCACCGGGTTATTATACATAGAGAGCAACCTCACCGGGTTATTATACATCAATAGCAACCTCACCGGGTTATTATACATCGATAGCAACCTCACCGGGTTATTATACATCGATAGCAACCTCACCGGGTTATTATACATCGATAGCAACCTCACCGGGTTATTATACATCGATAGCAACCTCACCGGGTTATTATACATCGATAGCAACCTCACCGGGTTATTATACATCGATAGCAACCTCACCGGGTTATTATACGTAGACCGCAACCTCACCGGGTTATTATACGTAGACCGCAACCTCACCGGGTTATTATACGTAGACCGCAACCTCACCGGGTTATTATACGTAGACCGCAACCTCACCGGGTTATTATACGTAGACCGCAACCTCACCGGGTTATTATACGTAGACCGCAACCTCACCGGGTTATTATACGTAGACCGCAACCTCACCGGGTTATTATACGAAAACCGCAACCTCACCGGGTTATTATACGTAGACCGCAACCTCACCGGGTTATTATACGTAGACCGCAACCTCACCGGGTTATTATACGTAGACCGCAACCTCACCGGGTTATTATACGTAGACCGCAACCTCACCGGGTTATTATACGTAGACCGCAACCTCACCGGGTTATTATACGTAGACCGCAACCTCACCGGGTTATTATACGTAGACCGCAACCTCACCGGGTTATTATACGTAGACCGCAACCTCCCCGGGTTATTATACGTAGACCGCAACCTCCCCGGGTTATTATACGTAGACCGCAACCTCCCCGGGTTATTATACGTAGACCGCAACCTCCCCGGGCTATTATACGTAGACCGCAACCTCCCCGGGCTATTATACGTAGACCGCAACCTCCCCGGGTTATTATACGTAGACCGCAACCTCCCCGGGTTATTAGAGATAGCACTGGACAAATCAGCCACTGGGATGTGTATATTTGTCTCCCTCCCAGTGTGCGTGCGTGTGTGTATATATAAATATATATCTCTCTATCTATTATTATTTTTTTTTAAATTTATTTATAATATGCTGCATATGTAAAATTTATTTAAAGGTGCCAAATTCCTCAGAGATATATTTGCAGCACATTATTCATGAAAAATACATTGAAAAAAATCAATACATAAAAATATATATATTCGTTTTTTTCCAATGTATTTTCCATGACTAATGTTCTGCAAATATAATTGTATAACTCGTCTGCAAAAAAAATTAAATAAATAAATATATATATATATATATATAAATATATATATATATATATATATATATATATATATATATATATATATATATATATATATATATATATATATATATATATATATATATATATATACACTTTGTGTGTGATCAACAGCAATTATTCCACTATTTTCACAGCTGTTTGTTCCAGATTTAGGACTTTGCACCGTGGTTTCTTCTTGTGCAAATATCTCCTTGAGATATATACTTGTTAAAATGAATTGTTATTGCTGATGGAGAAGTTCTGCATTAGCAATACAGCAAGGAGGTTACGGTGGTTAGACTGCTCCCAATCTGAGAATTTCATAAAGATAAAAACTTTATGAAATACTCTCATTATTTCGCAGCCCAGTCAAAATATATTCTAAAGTAAAGTAGGGACTATTTTGTCTTAGTATTTTCCTAAGCTTGACAAAAAGACAGAGCTTATTGTCAAGACCCAGCTCTACTGATGGCTGAGGGTGGAAAAGCTCTGTCTAAGCAGGGTCCTTTTATAGACCTCAAAGTTGTATTCGTACATGCATGAGAGTACAGCGCTGATGTCTGCTCCTGGTACTAAAACAACAGGAGCTGAAGAGGACTGACAGGAAGAGCATGGAGGCAGCTCACCTTCCCCTGCACCCTGCGGCAACGTCACTGTTGGGGGTCTTTGCAAATTATGCAAAGACCCCACACAGTGACAGTGCTGCTTTAACCCACAGGTGAATTACATTTGCTGTGTCTGTTTGTGCCCTCCCCCCCATCATACCTCATTTGTTTTTCCTTCTTTTAGTTTAAATGTGAAACATTCCTTATTTTGTTTTCTTCTGTAGACCTGTATGGCCATGTAATCAGTTTTGCCTTGTTCCTTTTTATTTTTTTTATCTTATTACTTGGAGCTCATGAACTAAATTTATATAGCTTGACAATTCTTAATACATTTTAATTGGCGTTTAGAATACTCAGTCAAAATGCATGTCATGGATTTTGCTAAAATATAAGTGGCAACATAGCATTTTGTGATGTACTGTGCCACAGCATAAAAAGCCGAATTTTGAGCACTTATTTCCTTAAGGATTGCAATAGTGACTTATATTTCTAACACCGAGAGCTTCTTAAGAAGGATAAGGATTATTTTACCCGGTAATGCTGACTCTGCATGTATGACATGCTTTGTGACAGCTGCAAAAAGACTGAAAGCCATTTATTTATTTATTTTTGTGTCACTTCACAGTGATTGAAAATGACACAAGATGTATATAGAGCATGCATTATCAAAATCACTTTTTGCTACCCCACGGATATGGTTTTGGCACTCCTTTGCAGTAGTGGTCTTAAGCGCAGTCATTTCACACAGTAAATTAATGATTAATATAATAATGGTTATAGCTTACTCATTCTATGCAGCTGCAACTCCTACAACAGAATGATCAATGAACCATAGTTTACGTATTTGACACAATAAACACCCTACCATGAATATTTTTGTATATATATTTTTTTTAAATTGTATTTTGTTGTTTGGATCATAGCTGCACAGGTGGAAGACTGTTTCGAATTAATAGCCATGCAGTTGTTTCTTTATAGTTGTAGTGTGTTCAGTCTGCATTTTTGAATGTCTTACAGTTACTTTTTCTACCAACAGGATGAATTTTTGGATGTGATCTACTGGATCCGTCAGATCTTGGCTATTATATTGGGAGTGATCTGGGGAATTGTACCGCTGAAGGGTTTTGTGGGTATAGCAATGTAAGTATTGTCTATTAAGACTTCATATAGAGTCTTGTATGTCCTGTTATTTTCTTCAGATATTATATACTGGGGTTATATCTACCATTGGTGATAGACAAAGAGTGTCTGTTGATACCCATAGCCCATCACTACTGCCTAAGGGAGACTCTTCTGCATTGGAGCTGGATGAGGAGGGTAAAAAGGGTGCACTGTATAGGCAATATAGAAAGGACTTTATTAAACTTTTTTTAAGAACAATTTAAGCCCATAAGATAAGATGCTACCCATGACCTTCAGACACCATAACAATTTTATTGAGATCAATTGTTCTGTAGCCCAGAGCGGTCCTTTTAATCGTTTTGATCGATCTATCATTCATCTCAAACAAGGGGAAGCACACTCTCGGGAATTTTTACATCAAACTTTTCACTGCTTTTTTTTTTTTTTTTTATCCCAAAAGCTGTCAATCACGGCACATCTATGTTTTAGTCTCAACAGGAGGCTTTTCTCAAGACATAGTATTGCACAATGAACAAACTTAAATACCCTTCCAGATATCCAAAGTGAGGCTGACAGGGAAAAGTAGGCGTGAACACCCATAATCAGTGAATTAACTACTAAAATAACAAGGGCTGAGCATCTGTGTCTGTCCTGCCTAAAAGTGCAAAACAATAAAGATATAGACTTGATCACACTACTACCAAGCAATCACACATTATAGTCAAACTTTTAAGTCTATATCCTAAATTAAGAAAAGATCCCAATTAGACAGTGACCAAAACCTATATGCACTTGAGAAGAAGGGGAGAGAAATGGTAGGTAGGTATGTTTGTGTGTGTGTGTGTATATATATATATATATATACATACACACACACACACACACACCTTGGTTGACAGTAGAAAAGAGCTGAGTAAAAAGATAATGTACTGAACTACATAATGTATAACAAGGTTGAACTGCACGACATGTACTACAGGCTTTTGCACAAGCCGGTATGCTATAACGTTTGTCTTACTGTTTGCGCCAAGTTTACAAAATTGAAAAATAAAGAATTTTAAAAAAAAATCTATCTATAATCTCCACCAGAGGGTGCTGCGGGATCTTGATAGGTTTAGAAGTAAAATGCTTAAAAGTGTAAATATCCAGTGATACTGGTTACAAAAAATACAATATATACGTTAAACACGTTTATTAAATACCACACTCGCACATATTAAATAACATTTCATAGTCACAATTTTAAAAATTGCTAAATTGTTGTTTTGGTGGTTCTGAGATGGTTATGTGATTTCTTCTATCCTCTGGTCTCTTTTAATCATTAATTTTTATTTTTATTTTTTTTATTCTGCAGATTTTGTGTGCTAAATGCCGGCATACTGTACCTGTATTTTAACAGCTTCCAACAAGTAGATGAGGAAGAATATGGGGGAACTTGGGAACTTACGAAAGAAGGGTTTATGACATCATTTGCCCTTTTCTTGGTACCTCCTTCTTTTGTGTTTTTATATATAATGATAGACATTAAGTAGGATAAAGTGTAAAATTACCATATTTTAAATATTGTTGGCCTGGAATAAATTCATTCCTGTCGCTTTACTGTTAAAAAAAAAATATATATATATATATATATTTTTTTTTTTTAATTTTTTTTTTAAATATCCAATTACAACAATCAATAGTAAGTAGTTGTCATTTTATGTGTTTTATCCCCTTGCTTTTTGATGTCATCCACAAAATGTTTGAGTGACAATGTCAACATTACTATTATTGCACTAAAAAAAATCATTAGTAAAAGTATATAATTAAATTGGGGGGGGAAACGTTAATCTACTTTCAAAGTAGCCATTACTGTGGCTGTGAGCAGATGGCGTGCCTACGTATACAGTGCTAAGTGTTGCATTAAGCAATACACATTATGGGAGGAAATAATCTGACAGTGTGTAACTTCAGACAAAAACAAAAGCTGAAAGATTGAGAGTATGGCGTGTGCGGCAATGCACTCACCTGAATATACATTATAAGAGTGTTGCTGTGACTATCGAAGCGCTCCACTTTAAACAAGTTTAAAAGCAGATAGAGCTTTTTAAGACACCTTTGTTATAAAAAAAATTAGCATAGATTTAGTTATATAATGTGTAAACATGTCACTATTCAGAGTACCCAGTTTTTGGCAGAAGAGAGAGAGATATATATATATATATAACTATACCAAGGGTAGGCAACTTTCAGCACTCCAGATGTTGTGGACAGCATCTCCCCTCATGCTTTGCCAGCATTATGGGAACTGTAGTCCACAATATGTGGAGTGCCAAACATTACCTACCCCTGGACTATACCTTGCACCTAATGTATATCCTTTTGAATGTTATTGAAATTTCATTTACAGTATATCCACTAGGTGGAGCTGGTGTCAGTTATAGAAGAGATCACACCACTCTGTACAGTACTACAATTAATAGTACATTCAAAAACGCTAAATGTTAGCTATTAGATATGCCATATTTAGCTGTGCATTAGATATATTGTTTTATTTTAACTAACTTTTGTCAATATAAAAAAGTATCCTCTCTATTTTCATATTAAACAAGTAGTGAGTACCCTATTTTAATAGTATTCTATTGTTCTATTGTTGAGATAAGCATTCCAAACCATTTTGTAATTCTTTCATTATTGTCTTATGTAGCCTACTGATTTCAGGAAAACCAGTAAATTGAATGTCTTACGAAGTTATGTACCTTCATAGACACTGATTTAATAGTAGTTATGTAATTGAAAGGGGATTTGGACGTTACTATTACATCATGGATTTTATTCCAAGCTTACGATAGACAAAACATGTCACATTTGTGTTTTACAGACCACTTTTAATCGAAGCATTGGTAAAGAATACTGCATGTAGTTTCAATATAAAACAAGTACTTTGTGAACATAGGTAGTATTCTATCCTTTGCTGGATATATATATATATATATATATAACAGTGGCCACCTCTGTTAATCTGAAAGAGCGTGCCAGGCTCTCCAAATTGCTGTCCTTAGCTAGCCTAGTGACATGTATATCACTATGTATCCAAGGGAGAGAGTGGATCGGTGTATTTAGGCGTAATTGATAATGTGTCATTATATCTGATAGAAAGTGTGTCTGTATGCAAGAATGTGATTAGGCGATATGGGGCTTCTGACATTCACTTTTATATATGCCATTAATTTTCCTAAATATAAGATCATGTTTGAAGATCATCTCATGCAAACAAATTGTTCCTCCGATGTATTTGAAAAAACCTGACACTTTTTTTTTTTTTTTCCTTTTTTTCTTACAGGTAGTGTGGGTCATTTTCTATACCGCAATACACTTTGATTGACATGGATTTTTAGCTCCCTTTTTTGCCAAACTTTTTTTTTTTTCCTCCACTTTTTGAGGAACTAAGATTTCCCCCCCCCCCTCCTCCTCCCATAGCCCCAAATTAAGGCCTACTGTAGACACTGTGGAGTGTACTAAAGATTAACATTATTATTATTTTTTTTTATTTATTTTTTTTTAAACAACACTCATTGACTGATTTATTGTTTGAAACTCTGCCAGTGATAGCCGAGAGTCCTCATGAAATGGATCAGTTAACCTTGGAGGTGCCAGCCTATTAACTGCCATAGATACCCACAGCAGAGAAACTAAGTGGTCAGCTTCCTTTTCCACTTAAAAGATCACATGGTCCAATTTCAGTGTCTTCCTTGCGTTTCGCCGGTGTCCCAGATCTAGTTTCCAGAATCTGACACTGCTTCTCCTTATTGATGCTACTCCAGACATTCTGGATATTTTTACAATGGAACATTGAGGGCTACTGCTGACAATTTTTTTAAACCAGAAAATGTAATGGAGAGTACAGCTGTAAAATAAATTCTTGACATTTCTTCTACCTGGACAAACCGCAATGTTTTAATTCTTTCTCCAACCCTTTGTTGGCCAAGAGATTTAAAATATTTTCTAGGCTCCTCATTAGGGGTTGAGAAAGCCTTGATCCTTTCTACATGACAGTATTGAACAAAATGGTATTTAAGCTGGTGAGACTGTGTTTTTCAATTAAAGTTGATTGATTACTTTCCTATTTTACTACTTGTGTATTTGTATCTAGTGGGGCAGGAAATCTTCTTATAAGCTTGAATAGGCACCTGGAAACTCATCGGGGCTTGCTGTAAATTAAAATCCCAGCGTGAGTGTAAACTTTATTTTTTTTTCATAAGGAAAATATTTAATAAACATTTGCATTCAAAGTATAGCAATCAGGATATCTTAGAGAGAAACAATAGAATACGGAATACAAATCTAGCCAATTACGAAATATTGGAACACACAAGGGTCATGTCAACAGGATATGTTACTATCGTGGATCCCAAGGAGTATAGAAGCAAGAGTTATCATTTCAAATGGATCAGAATAGTATCCATCATATGCCTCTAAGACAGAGCTGCCCAAAAGTTAGATACCCAAATGTTGTAGAACTACAACTTCCTTGATACTTTGCATGCCTTTAGAATGACAAAGCATCATGGAAGGGTTTTTTTTTTTGGGGGGTGCGGGGGTTTACATCTGGGGATCTACAACTTGGGCAGCCCTGCTCTAAGGATTAGACTGCCATTGAAGTTTGAAAAGGATTCAGAATGTCATAACCGAACCTACAAGAAATGAGTTTAGAAGGGGAAGGTGAGAAAGAAAAAGAATATAGGAAAACTAATTGGACATAGAACCATGTACATTAGGGAAGCAGTCGAGCAAGAGTGACTAAATCTATTAAAGAAAGAAAAATTGTAAATGTTTTGTTCAAGGAAGCCATGGTGTAATGCATGTTTAGAAAAAAACTTATTTCGGATTTTGACCATTGTTGGGGAAGTCACCTGCTATTGTATAGCTATGCAAAGGCATGTCACCAATCACAATCAAAAATCCATTTATTCATCAAGAGAGAAAATCGAACACAATGGTAATACTTACTGAGAAGTGCAGTCTGGGGATTGATTTCCAACCTACTGGTAGTGTAGAAAATAGGTAGAAATGCAATTAAATCTCTATATTCGGGCAAGTGGTGTTCTAACCCTTCTTGTGGAGACATTGGGTATCAAATAAGGAGATATTTATTATAATTTAAGTATCATCTAAAGATGGTTTCATAACCGTTCTCTTTTAACATGTATACGTTGAATATTTTTGAAAAGTGTCAAATCTTCTGGAACTAGATTATCCTTCAATCTTATGCACCTACCTATGGATAAAAAATGCAAGCTTTCAGGTTATTTACTAAACAAAACTTTAGCGGGTTAAATGTGAACGTATAAATTGAGATTAAAATAGCCAAGCTGTGCCTATAGCAGAGTTAGTGATTTTTTTTTTTCTTCTTCTCCATATTTGCTTTTTTTGCCTCAATGTTGCCATTTAGATTTAATTTGCTAAATTTGTGTTTATTGAATAGGGAGTTATAAATGTGTCAGAGCATTTAAAGGTACACTGTAGGCACCATAACTACTTCATCTGAATGGACTTGTTATAGTACCTGGAGGTTCCTGGGAACCATGTTACGTTAAAGGATAACTGTAACTGCAAAAATACATTTTTTTTATATAATCATCCTTTCATCAAGTATTGAAATTTAAAAAAAAATAAAGGGAACACTTAAACAACACAATGTAACTCCAAGTCAATCACACTTCTGTGAAATCAAACTGTCCACTTAGGAAGCAACACTGAGTGACAATCAATTTCACATGCTGTTGTGCAAATGGGATAGACAACAGGTGGAATTATAGGCAATTAGCAAGACACCCCCAATAAAGGAGTGGTTCTGCAGGTGGTGACCACAGACCACTTCTCAGTTCCTATGCTTCCTGGCTGATGTTTTGGTAACTTTTGAATGCTGGCGGTGCTTTCACTCTAGTGGTAGCATGAGACGGAGTCTACAACCCACACAAGTGGCTCAGGTAGTGCAGCTCATCCAGGATGGCACATCAATGCGAGCTGTGGCAAGAAGGTTTGCTGTGTCTGTCAGCTTAGTGTCCTGCAAAATGACCTCCAGCAGGCCACAAATGTGCATGTGTCTGCTCAAATGGTCAGAAACAGACTCCATGACGGCCTGACGTCCACAGGTGGGGGTTGAGCTTACAGCCCAACACCATGCAGGACGTTTGGCATTTGCCAGAGAACACCAAGATTGGCAAATTCGCCACTGGCGTCCTATGCTCTTCACAGATAAAAGCAGGTTCACACTGAGCACATGTGACAGACGTGACAGAGTCTGGAGACGCCGTGGAGAATGTTCTGCTGCTGGCAACATCCTCCAGCATGACCGGTTTGGCAGTGGCATTTCTTTGGGGGGCTTATGGAGCAATCTATTATATTTAAACAAATTGACCACAATCTGGCACCTAAGAGCAGCCATCTTGTTTGTAGAGCCAGGACCCAGACAAGTGAGAGAATGTTTTTCCCCGTCATTGAAGGTTTTTCTCTTAAGTGGAAATTCAAAGAGAAAAATGAAAGATGTCCGCTATGCTTCTAGTGCGGCTAATCAGCTACTCTGTTTTTTAAAATTTAAAATTCACTTTGCTTTCTTACTTTAGTGAATAACATTGATAGAGGCACATAAAACAATTATTCGTTTTATCACCGCTCATATTACATTTGACATAATCACAAAATAAACTTCAGTGTAATCTGTGGAATGCCAGAATGGTTGCCTTCAGCAAGTATCTTTTACTTTTTTGGAATGTTTATTAGAATAGTGCAAATATTCATATCAACAAGGCCAATCTCAGAAAACATGTGTACTGATCATAATTTTATTAAAGATCTGGAGGCTCCTATTATACTTATTATGCTGCACTTTTTCTTTAATTCCCTCAGCAGCAAAGAAACATTATTTGTAAAAAGTTAACATTTGAACAGGTATAAACATCACAATGATAATGTCCGTCTAGTAACATGACCCTCCAATCAGTGACATCCTTCTCCTATAGTAGGCGCAGCATCGATGACCATTCCCCCTTTCTTTGCTGCTTCCCTCAGATAAGTACTCCTCTCACAGTTCTCTAAGACTGTGAGACCATCTTATGATTGTATTATATACTGTTGTTTACTACCTTAACCTTATTTTATGTGGTACCTTTAAATGTTCTTCTTTACTTCATGTGTGATGCATTTATATAAAATTTTCAACTTAGTATTATAATTTACTTTCCAAAAATACATTCTATACATTCAATCATTCATCTGTCTTCCTGGGACATTTGTTTTCCCCTTGTAGTTTTTTGGTTTTTTTTTCTATACTATTGTTAATCCATAATGTATGTCTTAACTGCACGTCACTGCAACATGTTTTCTGATGATTTATGAGACTCTAACATTTTTATTTTGTCAATTGTGCTTCACATTTGCACTGTTTGAAAGAGGAAATAATACTTTCTCATCAGTACAGAACTACTGAATCAGCCAACTGACCGTTCACGGGTGCTCGGACTCCCTTTCGGCTGCGCATGCGCGTCTCGTCAGAGACACCTGGCGGCCATCTTGCGGCTGGCTGTTGCGCGCGTTTGTGAAATACGATCGCACATTCAGCCGCTTATAGTTCTTCTCTGCAATACCTTAGTTTGCACATATAATCACTGCGACCACCTGGTCATTCTAACGTTCCGGTTTACCCGCAGCAGCAATCTTTCTGGTGTCCGTTATCGCGGCGGCCATTTTGTTCAAGGTCTTCCTGCCTTTTGCTCTGTTACACCCACTCCATCCTCTGGTCAGAGTGGGTGTCCAGAATTAGTGGCGGACGGTTCTCTGTTTATGCTCTCCGCCCATTAGTGTCTGTGAGTAGTTGGCATTGTTATAAAATCTCATATTATTACTTGTGATTGTCAATTTTTTTCCTCTGGGTTACTTAATCCAGTTCACCATTGTACTACTTATCATTAAATTACCCTTGGCCTTACTACCATTACTATGCTTCAATATGCAGTCACCCAATGAATTACCTGGGCCACCTGGGGCTCAATCTAATCCCCAAATTTCCATAGTTTTGCCTCGTATGATTGTTGGGGATGAGACTGACTTTCCTGCATCTGAGGAAATTCAGGCAATTATGGACACTACTGTGTCAAAAGCCTTGGCTTCTGCAATGGACATTGTCCTCATCTCTATCAAAATCTTTCACACAAGCGATACTACAGGCCCAATCAGCGGTCCCTCCGGCAGCTATGCCAGCTGCGATACCCACAGTCTCTCACCCTACACACCCCGGCCGCAAGGCCTCGGCAAAAATAAAGCACTCATCCAAAAAACAGATGGACAGTTACAAACCTGTCACAGATGGCGCGGATAATAATCCACCGCGCAAAAGAGCCTCTAGCCGGGCAAAAGCGGCTAGGCATTGGAAGTGGGCTAAAGCCCAACCAGATTATACTGAGTCTGAACTCAGCTCAGAGGAGGAGAGTGCATTGTCATTAGAATCAGACCAGTCAAATGATTTATCTGACTTAGATTCAGACTACGGATTTGGTGAGGATTCAAAAACCTCTACCGATTTACATACCACAGGCACATCTAACCCTGACCTAAATAAAGGGGATAAAATACTCGACCCACAGGGCAAACCCCTATTTGAGGCCTAGTTGACCCCATAATTATCCAGTTCCTGAGCATAACTGGATGGAAGCCTAAGAAAGGCTTGGATTTTTCATTATACAATTGCCAAGACAAGGTTCTAGATATATTGGGACCAGCAACCAAAATATTTGAAGCCGTGGAAGAATCCTTGGCCCAAGATGAGGTCCTAGACCGATTCACGATTAGAGGCTGGATCCAAAGAATTATATGCCTCATTGGCAATGCTAATACCGCTCTTGCCATAGAGCGCCGGAAATCTATCCTATTAAAGATAGAGCCTAAGCTCATTCACACCGCAATTACAGAACCAGGTCCTCAAGCTAAAGGTTTCCTCTTTGGAGACTCATTTGTCAAAGACCTGGGCGCATATGTCCAAACATTTACTGCCTTGGACAAGGCACAATTAAACATGAAAAGGGTGTTCCACCCAAAGGTTTTTTCTGGGGCTGGCAGAGCAAGGGGCCATCTGTCCGGCAGAGTTCATAGAGGTTCACGCCAAATGAACCGAGGCTCCTACTTGGGGAGAACCCCCTTTCCAGAGCAGAGGTCCACTCCAACTGTCTTCCCTCAAAGAGGCAGACCGTGGGTGTCGAGAGGCTCACAAGGCGCTCCTTCCGGAAGACATCCTTACGGTAAGCTACCTACCTCATTTTTCTTCTCATATCACAGTTGGGGGCAGACTCACACATTTTTCCCATGTCTGGGCTCTCATTACATCAGATGCATGGATACTCAAAGCAGTCCATGTATACCTCATAGACTTTGTATCCCTACCTATCCAACAATCCCCACCCAGGGAGATTGTTTTTTCCAGATCAGATACTATCCTCGTCTCCGAGGAAATACAAAAGTAAGCACTCAAAGGGGCTATTCTAAAAATACCGAGGCATACCCCAGGTTTTATCAGCAACCTATTTATTGTTCCCAAAAAGGGTGTCAGAACCCGCCCAGTCATCAACCTCAAACATCTAAATTCCTATGTAAATTACCACCATTTCAAAATGGAGGGCATTCATTGCCTACGAGATCTGCTCCAACCATCGGACTGGATGGTGAAGCTCGATCTACAAGATGCCTACCTCACGGTGCCCATTGTGGAAGCCCATCAGGACTACCTGCAATTCACATGGAAAGGAAAGAAATGGCGATTCTGCTGCCTTTCCTTCGGTCTCTCTTCTGCCTCTTGGTGCTTCACCAAGCTCATGAAGCCAGTTGTCGCAGTCGGGGGATTCGTCTAATCATTTACTTAGACAACATCCTACTGCTGTCCCAATCGGTGCCCCAACTCCATACTCACCTCGGTTGGACCACAACCTTACTACAGAATCTAGGCTTCATTATCACTTGGGAAAAGTCCATACTAGTTCCTACTCAGAGGATAGAGTTTCTAGGACTCCTAGTGGATTCAGTAACGCAAACCCTATTCTTGCCTGCCTCCAAAATGAGGAATATCAAAAAAGTGATAAGGCGTGTTCTAGCCTCCCCGCATTTATCTCTCAAACACCTGGCCCGTGTCATCGGGCTCCTGGCTGCCTCCATACAAGCCATTTTTCCAGGCCCCCTTCATTACAGAGCCCTTCAATTCCTACAGGTGTCACACCTCAGGGGCGGCGCCTCATACGAGGATACCCTAACTCTAGACACAGAAGCGAAAGAAGAACTCCACTGGTAGCTACTACACATGGAGGTGTGGAATGGCAAAGCCATTTTTGGCTCGGCCCCAGAGATAGTCATAGAATCAGACGCGAGTTCTTACAGATGGGGAGCTCATTGCGGAGATGTCTCCACAGGTGGACGATGGTCGGACTTGGAATCCATCTTGCATATAAATTGCTTAGAACTCCTAGCAGGTTCCTTTGCGATTCGCAGCCTATCCCTGACCCTGTCCCAGTGCTCAATATTATTGAAGATGGACAACATCTTGGCGGTCCGTTAAATAAATCATCTGGGAGGCACGAGGTCCAAAATCCTAGCGAATTTGGCTCAGGACTTCTGGCAATTTTGCTTCCAACACAGCAATGTATCTACCATGGTTGTCCAACACTACAGCAGATTGGTATTCCCGTCACCTGCGGGACTCCAGCGACTGGCACCTCGATCCCCATATCTTCCACTACATCTGGGACCTATGGGGTCCTCTAACAATAGACTCTTTTGCCTCTCGCTTGAATACCCAACTTCCGAACTTTTTCAGTTGGAGGCCAGACCTGAAAGCTTTGGCTACGGATGCATTCTCCCAAGACTGGTCCACCACCAGGAACTATGCATTCCCTCCATTCGCCCTTATCCTGCTTTGCCTGCTTCACTTGCGACGCCACTTAGGCTGCCTAGTGATAATAACCCCCCTCTGGCCATTACAACCCTGGTTCCCTCTGTTACTAGAGATGACTATAGATCCCCCAAGACCCCTCCCGGACTCCCACTCCCTCCTACGGGACCCCGACGGCACCGCCCACCCCCTGATCCTCCAGGGCCTCCTCCTCCTCACGGCATGGCTAATTTCCGGGGACCCTGGGCAATCGAGGGACTGTCGAAATCGACTCTCCGACCTCTCAAGGGCGCATGGGCACCCGGCATGAGACAGTCTTACAAGTCTGCTTGGCTCACATGGGATTATTGGGGCATGGCAAGGGGTGTGGATCCCCTATCAACCCCTGTGACGACTGTCCTCCAATTCTTAACCTCCCTCTATGAGGATGGGAAAGCTTATCGGACGGTGAACCTCTACCTATCAGCGATTTCAGCCGGCCACACCGGCATTGACGGAACCCCGGTGGGACGACACGCAGTTGTCTGTTGCCTCCTAAAAATAACAATGAAGGGGGAAGTTATCATCATGGGTGACTTTAATCTTCCTGATGTAAATTGGAAAACAAAATTAGCTACTTGTGCCAGGAGCACACATATTCTAAACTCCCTACTGGGATTGTCTCTAAAACAAGTTGTTGAGGAGCCAACTTGTAAAGAGGCCATACTAGATTTAGTGTTAACAAATGGAGATTTGGTATCAGATATTACTGTAGGTGAAAGTTTAGGATCCAGTGATCATCAGTCAGTGTGGTTTAATATAAGAACAGTGACTGAGTCACACCACACAAAAACAAAAGTTTTAGACTTTAGAAAAGCAGACTTTTCTAAAATTAGAATATGGGTAGAGGAGTCATTATCAGACTGGAGCAATTTATATGGAGTCCAAGAGAAATGGGATTATTTAAAAGTTGCACTATTGAAGGCAACAGAAAATTGCATTAGGCTTGTCAGTAAAAGCAAAAAATTCAAGAAACCAGTGTGGTACTCCGCAGATGTGGCCAAAATAGTTAAAAACAAAAAGTTAGCATTTAGGAATTATAAAAAAACCCAGAGTGAGGAAGACAAAATGATCTATAAGATTAGGCAGAAAGAGGCTAAGCAAGTTATAAGAGCTTCCAAATCACACACAGAAGAGAAAATAGCACAGTCAGTAAAAAAGGGGGATAAAACATTTTTTAGATACATATATGAGAAAAGAAAAGTAAAACAAGGATTAGTTAGATTAAAAACAAAAGAAGGAAGGTATGTAGAAGAGGATAAAGGTCTAGCTGACTGCTTCAATGAATATTTTTGTTCTGTATTTACAGATGAAAATGAAGGAAAGGGACCTCAGTTGAGAAAAAGGATAAATGAGTCATTTATTACACGTGAGTTTACAGAGGAAGAGGTTCTATTTCAACTGTCAAAAGTAAAGACAAATAAGTCAATGGGACCTGATGGAATACACCCAAAGCTATTAAAAGAGCTTAGTGGTGTACTAGCAAAACCATTAACAGATTTATTTAACCAATCATTGTTAACAGGAGTAGTCCCAGAAGATTGGAAGTTAGCGAATGTTGTGCCCATTTACAAGAAAGGTAATAGGGAGGAGTCGGGCAACTATAGGCCAGTAAGCCTTACTTCAGTAGTGGGGAAAGTGATGGAAACCATGTTAAAGGATAGGATTGTTGAACATCTAAAAGCACATGGATTTCAAGATCAGAGACAACATGGGTTTACTTCAGGGAGATCATGCCAAACTAATCTTATTGATTTTTTTGATTGGGTAACTAAAATTATAGATCAGGGTGGTGCAGTAGACATTGCTTACCTAGATTTCAGATTTCCAAAGCTTCCTTTGTTGGTTGTCGCTTGGAAAATATATTGAAGGCAACTGATTGGTCCACGAAAACTACTTTCCGTAACTTTTATTTCAAACCAATCCAGCATTTCGCAGAAGCCTTGATATCACAGCTTTAAAATAGCATAATAGGAGCATCAGGGTCTTTAATAAAATTCAAGGATTTTACAATTATCATGACGGGAAAGTCATGATTTTATTAAAAACATGGAGGCGAGTATTATATCACCCACCCGCCCTTGGACGGCTTGGATGTCGGTTAAGGTAAGTTACAGACACCCCATGGTAAGTTCAATTTGATGCTACTGATGCCACCACATACCTACATTGCTCTAGGGCATTATTTAATGATGGACTTTATTTGTCACTGTTATCTTCAGGCTAGTAGTTTCCTCATACTACATTTATGAATTATCAATGTTTAATCAGACGATCAGCCCTCTATATATGCTGACAACCCTCGATTTCTGGACACCATATTTTCTTGTTTCTTTTAGCGTGACTTCGTTGAAATAAATGCCTGAAGCACAGGCATAGGTCCAGTTCGTTTGTTTATCGTTTCTTGTTCGGAGTTGAATTATTCTTCGGGATTTGCAAGAAAGAGGAAATGGTCATCGATGCTCCACCTACTATAGGAGAAGGATGTCACTGATTGGAGGGTCATGTTACCAGGCGGACATTATCATTGTGATGTTAATACCTGTTCAAATGTTAACTTTTTCAAATAATGTTTCTTTGCTGATGAGGGAGTTAAAGAAAGAGTGCAGCATAATAAGTATAATACTCGCCTACGTGTCTTTAATAAAATCATGACTTTCCGTCATGATAATTGTAAAATCCTTGAATTACGCAGAATAATTTTAAAGGTGCTTTGCTTTTGTCGAAGCAACTTCGTGCATGCTGTTTTGTCTGCAGCCTTTGCAAGCCCTCCCCTTCTAAAACTAGCCCAGACTTTCTATGGCTGTCCAATCACAGACTTCCCAATGTAGCTCTGTCATGCCAAAAGCATGAGTTGGTGTTTGATGTATTGATATATGTTAAAAGTTGTTTTTTTTGGTAAACTTTGGGATGACTTTTATTGTGGTCTTTGATCTGCACCAGGCCTAGACCATAAAACATCTAGATAGCCATCACCAGAGCTGGACACAAGGAATAGCATAGAGTGGGCATTAAACTGCCAGACCAACCCCCACAAGAATTCTATATGGGGTAAATGCATGTAAGGAATTTCTTGTGTTTTCTCCTATTTTATTTTATGCACTGTTTTGCAATTTGTTATCTGTATGTAATTTATTTCTGTATCTTGTACTCAGCACTGTGAATCTTTTTTGTCAGATTAAATGTTTACCTAATCAGCTTGTGTCTCTGTTCTCTATGAGCTTCACTCTCCAGAGGAAAGCTCAGGTAAACACGTTACCAAAAGGGGTTAATTATATGTGTTTGATCAGTTTGATCTCCTGTCTGTGGGGTAACCTAAGACGCCCGGGTTTAAAGTCTTGGTGGTGGCAGTATAGTGTGTACTAGGGGGTTAGTGTAGAAGGGATTGCAGGGGTTTATTGAGTGGTTGCTGGGACTAGCAACAGGTAACCAGGGGTCTCGTGTCATTAACCCTGTCACTTCCACACTCTCCCCACTGTCTCGGCTGGGCCTATAGCCCACGCTCGTGACAAGCTCCGTGAGAAGTCTTTGCAAGGCAGGTGCTCTGGGCCAGTGGCGGATCCAGAGCCTGATCTCAGGAGGGGCACTTGTAGATTATTTAAAGAAATAATCCAGACACAATAACCACTACAGCTCAGTGTAGTGGTTATGGTGTCAATAGTGCCGGGACCCCCTCCCACAGTAAGTAGTCAAACCGTTTAAGAACAGTTTGACAACTTAACTGGGATCTGCTGGGAAATGGGGCTGTAGTAGGGTATAGGAGCAGTGGTGTGTGTGAGTGGTGCAATGTGTAAGGGGTGCAGTGTGTGTGTGTGAAGGTTGTAGTGTGTGAGTGAGGGCGGCAGTGTATGTCAGGGATGCAGTGTATGTGTGTAACAGTTGCAGTGTGTGTGAGTATTGCAGTGTGTGTGAGTATTGCAGTGTATGTGTATGGGGGGCAGTGTGTGTATGTGGGGGGCAGTGTGTGTATGACGGGCAGTTTGTGTGTATGGCGGGCAGTTTGTTTGTATGGCGGGCAGTGTGTGTGTATGGGGGCAGTGTGAGTGTATGGGGGCAGTGTATGTATGTGGGGGCAGTGTGTGTGTATGGGGGGCAGTATGTGTGTGTATGGGGGCAGTTGTGTGTATGGGGGCAGTGTGTGTGTATGGGGGCAGTTTGTGTGAATGGGGGCAGTTTGTGTGTATGGGGGCAGTTTGTGTGAATGGGGGGCAGTTTTGTGTGAATGGGGGCTGTTTGTGTGTATGGGGGCAGTGTGTGAATGGGGGGCAGTTTGTGTGGATGGGGGCAGTTTGTGTGAATGGGGGCTGTTTGTGTGTATGGGGCAGTGTGTGTGAATGGGGGCAGTGTGTGTGGTGGGGGCAGTTTGTGTGAATGGGGGCAGTTTGTGTGAATGGGGGGGCAGTTTGTGTGTATTGGGGGGGCAGTATTGGGGACAATGTATGTGTGTGTGATCAGGGTAGGGTGGCTTTTTTTTTATTATATAATATTTTTTAATTTAATTAAAATAAATAAATATTCTATGCCCCCCCCTCCCTTCTTACCTTTACTGGGAAGGAGGGGGGACATTTCCCTGGTGGTCCGGTGGGGGATTCCCTGGTGGTCCAGTGTGGACAGTGAACTCTAGCCCACACTCCCGGGCTAGAGTTCACTCTCGCGAGATTTGGAGCGTTGCCGTGGTAACCGCGGCAACGCTCCAAATCTCGCGAGAGGAGGACCCGGAGGAGCTGCAGTTTGAGCTCCCGGGTCCTCCCTCTCCCTTCCCTGCCGGCTGTCAGCACAGTGCCTGCGGACCGGGGAGGGAGATCTCTGATCTCCCCTCCGGTCCGCAGGCACATTGCAGGGCTAGCACCTGCATGTGCTGCTGGCAGGGGAGAGGGAGACCGGCGGATTTCTCTTGGGGGGGGGGGCAATTGCCCCTTTGCCCCCCCCTGGATCCGCCACTGCTCTGGGCAGTTGCTGCCTCCTGAGTTTAGCTCCATTGAGCTAAACAAACCAGGAATCAACAGAACCTGTTGTCTGATTGAAAGCCATAGGGGTGTAACAAGGTTAATTTATAAAAGTTTAAATTTCTATTGAAATCTGCACTCTTTGTAAAAGGAAAAAATAGGACACACTCGTCACACATAAAGCACTAAAGCAAATTTAAAGGGACACTCCAGGCACCAAAACAACTTCATCTAAATTAAGTTGTTATGGTGCAAGGATATCCCCAGAGGCACTTTTACCTCGAGGTGTTAAACGTTCTCAAACAGCTTATCCCTAAAGTTGACACCAGCACTGATCTCCACTCCCCCAGGCAGCATCTGGCTACTGAAATTTTACTTTCAGGAAGCGCAGAGTGCCGCTTGGCAGGGGCACCTCTGATTGGTTGAGAGCAGTCAGTGGACAGTCCCAGCCAATCAGTGACTTTCCATTTACATAACTTGCTTGGAAAGAAAGGTAACTTTCTCACGCCAGTTTTGTGATTGGGGAGTCACTGAAATTCAGAAGCTGCCTGGGGGAGTCGAGATCACCACTGGAGGCAACTTTGGGGTTAAGTCCTTAAGGCATGAGTGTGCCAAGGGGCCTCCTGGAACCATAACAACTTTGTTTAGACACTGTTGTTATGGTGACCGGAGTGTTCCTTTAAATGCTTTAGGAGCCCTTTAACCAGCACAGCTTGTTGTAATGATGGAATGATGGTGCAAGTAGGCTGTAGATAAAAGTTCTGTTTTTCCTCAGAGAATTCCTGGCATGCAAATACCACCTTTCTGTTTGGTATATAAAACGGTAAAGGTATCACTCTCTCATTCATCTAAGTTATTTTTTAACTGCTCAAAATATTTTTAGCTTTCCTTTGCTGGAATCCACAAGGAACACCCAGATCTAGAAATAATGTATTTTTCATCTAATCCTGGTCTCACCAGTGCTTTGAGCAGGAGCACAATGCTTATTACATAACTAGTTAATGAGAAATGTATTTGGCCGTTAGTATCCCACTGAAAGTAATGAGATGAAACAAAAAAGTCACTAGGCAGTTGTACACCCTGTCTACCCATTCTATACAACATTTTGTACAGGTCATAAGAAAATGATGCTACCCTTATGACATCATTGTGGGTGGATTTATAGCTGATATTTTACTTGCTAACTAATTTAAATAAATAAGGGTGCTGATCAATACAAGAAGTAAAAGTGTTTATGATGTCTGTAGTGTCTCTATAAACTCTTTTAGACTAAACGTTACACTTTACTGGCATCGTAATATAGACCTTGCCAGCAAGATATACCCTGATTATTTCGCTTTGACAGCTTAATCCTGGCAGTTGTCAAATATGCGGGTCACCCACTTTGGAATATATATTTGTTTTAATACTGTCACATTGTTATGAGGACATAGACCATTAGTGGACATTAAAGGATTACTCCAACCAAAAACAATGTTATAAAAAAAAATTCTGTTTTTTGTTGTAGTAGTTAACAGTTGTTGGTATTTCCTAATGAAGGCACGTACTGTAATCCCACTCCAACACCAAGTTCATCCTGCATGCCGATCCTCCTTTGATGACATCACTTTCCCTTAATGAAGAGGTTGTGATGTCACAAAGGCCAGGCTGTGGGAGGTCTTGGGTGGCAAGGGAGGGGGGGGGCATGCGGCGGTGCCAGGCTATCCGTGCTGACGACAGACTTTTTTTAATGCACATAATTAACAGCCTGGAACTCTAATTCCAGGTTGCTAATGATGCTTCCAGAGGTGAAGTTCCTCCTCTAGCGGCAAAGTGCATTATATCAGCATACGCAGCATTTCTTAGTGACTCACAGCATTCCATAACCACTTCAATTCACCGAAGTGGCCATGTTGCCTTGTGTGAACCCTTTAACCCCTTAAGGACACATGACATGTCTGACATGTCATGATTCCATTTTATTCCAGAAGCTTGGTCCTTAAGGGGTTAAAGGGATTATGTTGAAAGTCCACTTTTTGAAGGACCAAGACAACAGTAATTATTTTTTTCTTCTTTTTATTAACATGATTGCAGTTAACATTTTGTTAAACATGGTTTATCTATATCAGCTGAAATACAAGGGAAATGTTTGTCTTTCTTATGCCAAGCTTATCTGAGAGGAAAAAAACAAAATGTTGTAGACAAACGTGTTTGTGGGCGAGACTTTTAATTAGTGTGGGGTGTGGTGCAAAACTGTCCAGCTCAGACTTTCAATAGAGAGCAGATTATGGCCAAGCTCCTTATTATCTAAGCGTGAGAAAGAGGTTGTGGACAAGTGGACAGTCGTATATTATTTTCCCTGATTATCAGATAAAATTAGGAGTGGCTCCTAATGTGTCACATCATGCCGAATAAACCAGTTAAACCAGTAACCATATAAAAAAAAAAAAAAAAATCAGGGATCTGTTTTCAAATATACGAACCAAGTCCCTCACAACTTGAGAATCTCTTTACTTTGAATTTAAAGGTCTTTAATTTAAAAAAAAGATTATGGTGGAATTTGGATGAATTTCATCCCGCAAGGTCTTGCAAATATAAAACAGCTGGAGGCTTGCACCTGTTACAGTTTTGTCTTGCTGACACTGTTTTATGGAGTTTAAATTTCCAAAGTATAAAGAGCTTCATACAGCTGGCTAACCTTTCTCTTTTTTGAGAGAGAGAGAAAGAGTTCATGTAGAATTATGACCATTTTAGGTGGTCCTGTTGTCAGCCTCCAAACAGAAGATTATTTTGTTGCTCTTTTCAAATAAAGTCAGGGAAACAAATCTCCGCATCAAGCTTCCAATCAGGGTTGTCACATAAATCGGATGCATACTGACGAGAACAATAAAAAATAGGCAGGGAACCTGGGAAAACAAAAATGTGAACATCCTCCAAACTGATTTTGTATTTGCAGATGCTTGTCCATTTTCAAAGATGTAGAAATATTTATACTTCAAGAGGTCAACATCAGCATACAGCTAAGGTGTCAAAAGTTAAAAGCTAGCTTTCCCACTGGAAACACTAGAATGTCCAAACTCTTGCATGACTTCCGATCGGTGGAGCTTGTGATGGGAAACATAATTGTCCAAAGAGCATATCACGAACCAAGGGCTACAACAGATTGTTCTCAGCCATTCTGGGCACCATGCTCTGGGTATTGGTATATGCACATGTAGCTATCCGAGAAAAATCTCCTACATAAACTGTCCATCTTACTGAAATCGACCCTTTGGAACTGCTCTTCGGACATTGATAGGTAGTCTCCCAGTTGAGGGCAAGATCGTACCAGGGGAACATTTGTTCCGATTTCATTTCCTAAGCAGAAAAAAAACAGTTTCTTTTTAGAATTCTTGAGAATTTTTTATATTGTCCATGTCGGCATAATGTGCAGTTCACAAATATTAGTCTCAGTTTATACCATCTGCCATCACTCTATGTATGCTGTTGCATGAATTTATCAAGATTTTCTACTACACTTTCTGTAAACAATTAATAATTAAACCAAAACATTTATTCATTAGTTAAGGTAATTTCCAAACTGTTGTAGAACTGGCACACCCAACATTCTCTTTAATTCTTATAGTTCCACAAAATCTGGAAGTTTTACCAATAAGCCATTCTTGCTTTACGCTAAGCGAAAAGTCTGCTGGATCATAATAGAAGGGACAATAAGTTGTATGATGCTCAAATCCATACGTGGGTATTTAAGTGAAGACGGTTGTCCAATAGGGCCTAATTTTTAATCTGGTAATAAGTTTCCTGTTACAGACATGTTTTTAATATGCAGTGTTTATCTGCTTTTGAAATCTCAGATTCTACATTATGTCATGCCAACATCTAAAAATCAACATCTCCCATACCTGTTTTTCCTGCCATGCTGTCGAAAAACACCCAGGAATGTTTGCTGGGTCCATATTTCACGAATGATATGAAGTGACTAGTCTTAATGCAGAGGACCGCCAACAGCTGTAGTTTTTGTAGTGGCAGGGAGCCATCAGTCTGTGTATCCAGTCTGAGAGGACTGTGGTCATTTAGTTGTTTCTGAGAATGAACCTGAGAGACAAAGAAAAGGGAACACGGAAATCAGTCAACTGACTGTTGAAAATCAGCCAGCAACTTTGTGGTGTTAATGCTGGTTTTCTTTGAACACCAGCACTGGAAGGACAGAAATATATGTTTATGTGTTTCTGGATTGTTCATTAAGCCATGAATTTACCAAGGAATTGCACATTTTAGGTCAAAATAGCAGAAACTGAAAGCCTGCTATGGTTCCAACTCATCTATTTTGGCCCCAAAAAAGTAAAAATTCTGATACTGACTGGCCAATGACTTACCCAAATGGACATAATACTATTCACATGTTGAAGCACACAAAAACCCTCTATAGGTGGTATATGATGCCTCACAGATTACTAAAAAAATTCCTAAGTGTCTCTTCAACATGCAGGAGAGGCGCATCAGACAGAGGAACCTTCCTTCATGTCTGGTGGACATGCTGTGGCATTCACCCACTTTGGAATGATGTCCAAAACTTTTAAGGACCCTTGGAGTAAAACATTTCTCTATGACAGCTACTACTTGTTTACTCATGTTACTTGTTACTCAGTCATTTTTACTCAAGTAAAAATTCAATGTTTGCAAGAGAACATGTACCAGACCATGTTGCATTTGTAGTGTCTAAGCATAGAAGCTTATTGCTGAATCTTCTGTAATTTGGCTTGTTGTGTGGATGGGGAGAGGTGGGAGCAGTATTTACCTCATTCTACTCCATGTCCGATACCTCACAAAATTACTTCTTTGGATAAGCTAGCTCACCTTTGGAACAGGCATCACCAGTGACTACCTGATTCAATCCCACATAGAAAAAGTGAGGACCGGGTCTTCAGGTCATTGATCTACAAATGTTACCAGATATCTGAGAAGAGAAGGACTGTGACTACCACTGCTTACCTGTCTTTCACACTGTTGGCAGAACTGGCGAATATGCCCATCAGTGGTAAGAGGGTCTGCAAGACACTGTGTGCATTCATATTCAGCAACTCCCAGGCAAACACAACAAACTTTGCTTCCTGTAGACAAAACATCAATTATTAGAACAAAAGTTTGCATATAACAAGGTTTAGATAAATGAGCTTATAGAAAATTAGTGAGATGGACAATAATACTCACATCCAACATACAGGTGATTATTAACATAAAAAGAAAAGAAATAGAATACAACGTAAATCTGTGGAGGAGATGATTAAAGATACACACGTAGTGGAAAATTCCAACTCACATTTCTCAGAGCCTTATAAAGGGACAGGCTCAGATCACAAACACTTCTGTGCCGTATGGTGGCACTTAACCCTTTTGGATATGTAGATCTTCCTCAAAAAAGATAAAAGCAGAGAGACTCCTTTGGTGTAGCATATAATGGACCAGTGATAATATTACTTTAAAAAGTAAATCAGTGCTCACCTTTACCAGAGCCCTTGGTACCTGGCTATGGGTATAGTCATTTGAGTGCCTTTAAAGGGGAGGCACTACCCTTATAGCAGGAGTTGAGGTAGTCAAGTAGGGACTTTTAAAATTAATATTTATTACAATAAAAAATAATAAAGTATAAAATAAAATACAGATAAAAAGTATTTAATAACAATAGTATTCCTGAGTGGACTCCTCTCACCGAAGTAATATTATCACTGGTCCATTATATGCTACACTATTATATGCTACACCATAGGAGTCTCTCTGCTTTTATCTTTTTTGAGGAAGATCTACGTATCCAAAAGGGTTAAGTGCCACCATACCGAACAGAAGTGTTTGTGATCTGAGCCTGTCCCTTTATAAGGCTCTGAGAAATGTGAATTGGAATTTTCCACTACCTGTGTATCTTTAATCATCTCCTCCACAGATTTACGCTATATTCTATTTCTTTTTATGTTAATAATCACCTGTATATTGGATGTGAGTATTATTGTCCATCTCTATCATTATCCATCATTATTATTGTCCAATTTTCTATAAGCGCTCCACTTAGCATATACCAAGGCTGGGCATTTATCGAAACCTTGTTATATGCAAACTTTTGTTCTATATATTTGTCACAGGGGTTGAGGGAGACTTCCCCTGGAGTGTGAAGCTGCTGTAAACGTATATTGTAAAACTTACTAAGCGCACCAGTCACGGTTCCTCTTTTTTATATAAAAACCATCAATTCGCACCAGTCATGGTTCCTCTTTTTTATATAAAAACCATCAATTTGCACCAGTCATGGTTCCTCTTTTTTATATAAAAACATCAATTATTGACCAATAACAAAAACATGGTTCTTTCCCACTTCCTTACAGGCAACTTAACCATTTTGCTGTTGGTGATGACCCTGTGTTGTTATCTGCAGCACTTCTGAAATGTGGATGATGAATAAATGTCATCACCTTATTTTTTTCTTCCTTAAAGTATAATGAGGAGTAATTAAATCTTCCCTCTCCAGTATACCAATTAAGATGACGCCTTATGTGAAGTCACCTGGCAGGGCCAAAAGAAAATTCAAGTTCCAACATACTTGATATTGTACAGTGCCCCATAATTTAATGATGTGTGACATGTCATGATTCCCTTTTATTCCAGAAGTTTGGTCCTTAAGGGGTTAAAGGCAGTTTCTTGCAGACACAGTTGCATTCCGTCTATAGAGAGAGCTTTTCTTAAGTCTCGGTTTAAATCTGAAAAATCACATTTGTGTCTGTAATAAACTGCCTTTAAATGCTGATCAATGTTCCCTTCTCATTTTCTTCATATCGTGTGGCTGGTCCTGGCCAGTTGGCCACTGAAGTACGGTCAGATTTTGGATTATGCCTTCTATGTTTTGTCGATATTTTTGGTGATGTCATTCTTACCTACACTATGAAGTATAGCTTTTAGGTATTGGCAAAAATTAAACCTCTACATATTGCCAGTATCAGATTAGCACCAAAATCTAGCACGATTCCATCTGTCAAATTAAAATAATTACTTGTGTAGAGCATGTTGGTAATGTCCAATTCCAAGGAAGGGATGATAAAGGGGAACATCTTAAACTTCTTTCCAAATCTTGGCATCTGAAGGATCAGGCATGAGGGAGCCTGTAATGAATTAGGCTACTGTGAGATAGTGCAAATAATAAAAGCCATCCATGTATACTACGGCACTCATAGGAGTCTTACAGAATTTACACTTATTGAGTGTATTTATGTAAGATGGCGAGAATCTTTGTGCAATGCTGTCATAAAAGAACATGGGTTTCTACATCCACGTACAGGTCAAAAATCCATATTAGGGACCACTACACGTGTTAGCCAGCACACATATGTAGATCTACACACATGCAAGCAAGTTAGTATAATATTTTAAACCGACATCATCAAGAAAAATGAAACCTGGATTTAGTTTTCCATGATATATTTCACATGGAATCTTGCATATTGGGTTCCTTTATTGTCGTTTTAAATAGGGATCATTTTGGAAATTGTACAGTGCAGGGCAGGGCTGCACTGAAAATTATTTTTAAGCTGAAGAAGGATGTATTTTTAAAGAAGCGCTCCAACATTAAAAAAATGTTTCATGTATTTCTAATTTCAGACGTACTTCTCGCTAATTTAGACTTATGATTTTAACTTATCTTTCACTATACTTTGTGCCTGTCTTGCCACAGCCTCCTCCTCTGGCTGAGATCATCGTTACTGATGATCTCAGGCAATCACACTTCATATCTATGGGGAGTGTTTGGCGTCTTCACGCAAATCATGAAAGATTGCAGGACTGTAATAGGAAGCACCTCTAGTGGCTGTCTGATTGACAGCCGCTAGAAGTGTCCTTAGGCACAAATGGGAACAACATGCACTTTACACCAAAACCACTACATTAAGTTTTAACAGTTCTGGTGCTTAGAGTGCCTCTTTAATATACTTTCCTGAATTACATTTAAAGTTTCTCATATATTATTCTATATCTTTATATATATTCTATAGCATTACACACATAAGTTAGGGCTCCAGAGATTAGAAATTTTAATTTTTTTGTTCTAATGAGTATAGTGATAAATCTAAAATAGTTGATTCTGTAGGTTATAGATTGAGACCCTCTGATCTAGGTTAGGTAAGGTATCTAAAAATAAGTACAGATCTGAAGTTAGACTATCTGTCTTTCAATAGAAGGAAAGAGTGAATGTTATAGATACATTTATTTTGGTGTATAACGATGAATAGATAGCTATTTCATTTTGGATGAGATCACCTTTTCAAATTTCAGGTCATCATAGAATCGAAATGATCTTTCCATCAGAGTTTGCACCGAAGGTACCTTCAAAGTTCCGTCCCTCTCGACAATAATTTGATAAATGTTGCTTTCTTGCGTCTTGTCGTTACATCTGGAGCAGGAGGAAAAAGAAAAAAAAGAGCTTTCACAAACACCAGCAATATCAAGGTCGGTCATCACTGACCAAATCTGATTTATTTTTTTTCTTTATCTACTTTACTTCTGTAACAGATCACCTGGCACCCTGACTGGGTACCTCCATTGATGGATGCTCCTAGCACTTTTTGAGGATTCCAAGCACTCTAGCTGACACCACAACCACCACAGGCCAAACCTCTCTTCCTTCAGAGCAAAGCAAGAACAAGCTCTTAAAAGAGCTTATGAGTGATTATAGCAAGGGAATATGCAAAGCAAAGCAATCCCTTGTATCAGATTCACCCAATAAGAGACAGGACTCCAAATTGAGAGTGAAGTAGACCTGTCTAAAACTTTATTTTACTTGGGACTAGCCCAAATGGTCATTATATGAACATTGTTGTGAAAATTCAATAAAATTACAAACAGTCAAATCATAGCAGGCAACATACAGTGACTTATTATAACATAATTACATATTTATAAATGGGTGGGGAAGACTATAATTAACACAAAATGTCTCTCCTGCATGCAGAATTTGCTATATGCAAATCTACCCAAATATGCAAATTAGCAGTCTTGCTATTCAGGTAGTGCATATTACTGTTGCTACCAACAGAGGGCACTACACAAGCTCCATAGCCAAATCCACTTGGTTGGTAGCAATCCTCAGCAGTACAGAAGAGCAGGCAATACATCCCAAGAGCCATAGTCACATGGCAGGAGGCTGGCAATCAGTCTTCTCCAGGCACAAGTGGTGATGTTAATTTCGCCACAACTTCCTATTTGATTTGTGTATCCTTCTTTCTGTTACATGTCCATTTCCAATACCAGCCACCTTAGAATCCACCATGTCCAGAACTCCTTTCCATTAATTTAAAATACCCAGGTGTTAACATCTATCTTTACTTTATATATTGTTAATTATGTCTTCTGTCCTGCAGAATTGTTGCGTTTCTTCTATTTTTCTTCTACTTCTAATTTAAGTTTTATAAATCATAGCAATGTATATTTTCAACCCACCTGATTTTCATCAGTGGTTCTACAGCTAGGACTTCGTGTAGTAAAGCATTTAAAAACTCTTCAGGATCTGAAACAGAGAGTCCATCAATCAATAAATCAGAGAACTAAATAGTCTGTACTTATTCATGGTTTTCCAAATGTATAATGTTGGGGGATACGTGTACAGAAACGTATAAGGTTGGTGGACAAATATTAACATACCTTTTTCTTCTGTCACAAAGGTTTCACATCGCAGTAATTTTCTGAGCTTCATGACACTCTCAGCATGGACAAAGCCATTTCTGTAAAGTGAAAACAACATGAGATGTAGAATGAGGTGCCAGACAAGGGTGACTATAGAAACCATATTCTATCCGAAAGAACCCACAATGCCAAATATTATTCAAGAGTACAAAGTTGAACAGGTTCCTCTAGCAAGAAAACATGGTGGCTTTGGCACTTTGATTGGTACTCTTGTGGGTATGATATACATATGATTTTTTTATTAACAGAAGGCTATTTTGATTGGTTTCACCAATCAATATATAATATATCATTCTTTCTAATACTGAATTGGCCATTTTAATGACTGGGAGACTTCAAGGAACCCAGAGTGTCATTTTTCACTAGTTCCCAGTTTGTGATCTACCTATCCTTTTTTTTTTTGTTTGTACAGTTTTGTAATATGCAGGTACCCTCACCAAATTACACCTTATGAACCATCAAGTGGAACAGAAAAAAACCCTCAGATGGACTCAAGTTGGCATCAGTCTTTACTTCAAGCCTTTGCTGCATGCTTACCTTCTCAGCGGATTCACAATATCCTGCCTCAAGATACGCTGCACTTTTGCATCACAGACCTCCGGAGATTGTAAAATGTGATCCAGAACTGAGGAAAATGTGAACAGACTATAAGAAGGGAAAACAACATTTTAAAAAAAATTAATCCATTAAAAAAAACAAAAAACGTTCACTTACTAAAAAAACGTTTCACTTGTGAAATATTGATAATTTACCTAAAAAGTGTGGTATCAAGGTAACATGAGTTGTGGTGCCCTTGTATACCCCTTCTCAATCCAACCATCTTCTCAAGAACATCACACTCACGCACAGGAGGAATATCAATCAAAACATCATCGAGGGCACTGTGAATATCTAGGGATAGGGAGCACAAAACTGGTTATGTAAGAGCAAAACTTAAATACATATATAATATATATGTAGGCATAATATAATATAGCAATACAATTTTTTTTATGAATATAGAATAACAAATTATAGACCATAATTTGGGTAATTAATCTTTACTAATGGATTGTACAAAAAACATAATATATTTGATACGTAAATAAACTACACTAGAAATGATTGGGAATACAAAGTTGAAGTTGATTAAAGCATTACGGAATCTGCTGGCGCTATATAAATGACAATAATAAGATTATAGTCACCAAAACAACTTTAGCTTAATGAAGCAGTTTTAGTGTATAACTCATGTCCCTGCAGTCTCATTTCTCAATTCTCTGCCATTTAGGAGTTAAGTCACTTTGTTTAGGCATCATTAGTCACACCTCTCTGCATGTGATATGCACTGCCTTCGTAAACACTTTCTTTTTTTCATGCACTGTGGCTAGGGCTGCATAAGCAGAAACATGATATGTACACCCAGCTAAATGAAGTGGTTTGGGTGCCAGGTCCTTCAGGTTTTAAACCTGCAGCTGTAAACAAAGCAGTTTCAGAGAAACTTTGAGTAATGCTTTCCAATGGGTGGTTTTAGCGGCGCATGCGCATTCGGCTCCACTCGAGGGAGCTCGGAGCTTGATTAAGGTAAGTGGCTGAAGGGGTTTTAACCCCTTCAACCGAGCTAGAGGGTGTCCCTGAGTGTGGGGGGACCTAAGGACCAGAGGCGTGCGCACGGGGTGTGCCTGGGCACAACCTAATCCCCGCGGCACACCTATGTATTGAGACCGGCAGGGGAGATCTCAGAATCCCCCCATCAGCTCATGCAGAGCCGGCGCTATCCGAGCGCCGGCTCTGCGCTAAGCCTTCCCTCACCGACCCACAGGCAGTGAGGGAGGCAGGAGAGGACCCGGTGAGCTCTTGCCAGCAGCTCCACCGGGTACCTCTCGCGAGATCTGAGCATTGCCACGGCAACGCTCAGATCTTGCGAGAGTGAACGCTAGCCCCGCAGGCTAGCGTTCACTCTCCACTGGACCACCAGGGATGGATGGCAGCAGCAGCAGGATCCCCCCTCCCAGGCATAAGGTAAGAAGGGAGGGGGGATATTTATTAAATGGCCCACCCACACAATACACACAATCACCCAAACATACAGCACACACACACACAGCATCTACACACATACAATACACACACAGCACCCTCACACACACACACACACACACACATCTCCCTTACACACACGGCGCCCTCACACACACCCACTAACAGCACCCTCACACTAACAGCACCCTTACACACAGCACCCTTACACTAACAGCACACTCACACTAACAGCACACTCACACTAACAGCACCCTTACACACAGCACCCTTACACTAACAACACACTTACACATACAGCACCCTTACACACACACACTAACAGCACCCTCACACTAACAGCACACTTACACATACACACTCACAGCACACACTAACAGCACTCTTACACACACAGCACCCTCACACCACCCACACACTAACAGCACCCTTACACACACAGCACCCTTACATATACACACATACAGTAACATCACCCACACACATACAGCACCCTTACACACATACAGCACCCTTACACATACAGCGCCCTTACACACACATCGCCCTCACACACACACACACACATCGCCTTCACACACACATCGCCTTCACACACAGCACCCTTACACACACAGCGCCCTTACACACACAGCGCGTACACACACACAGAGCACCTACATACAGCACCCTCACACACACACACACACAGCACGCCTATGCTAAGGACTACATAGTGCCAGGAAAACAAGTTTGTTTTCCTGGCACTATAGTGGTCCTTTAATTAAGCTAAAGTGGTTTTGATGTCTATCCCTTAAAAATAGGCATGAATATATGTCTTTGTTGCAATTAAAAGTATTGTGTTTGTTAAAAGAAAAAATAAATATATATATATATAGTTGCATAACATACAATTAAATGTATCCACCTGTGACTTATAGGTTGTGGTAAAGATTTCACCATCAAAAATGTTGTAAACAAGTAGGTGGAGGATAATTATCTCTTGAACACACACATTTGCATTACTCGATGTTATGTTTAGGCATTGTTGTTCTGATGGCATGGGAATGGCATGACAAAACTGCAAAGGATTCTGGACTATGCCTCTTGACATGAATTTACTTCACAGAGCCCCAGTGCTGCTGTCATTACAAGATGGGTGAATATCTTGATGTAATGCTATAGACAAGTTTTAATTGAAATATACTGTAACACCATAACTACCGAATCTGTGGTGGCCTAGTACTGTAGGTCACACAAACTGGAAGTCAGCCATTATGCTGCCTCAGATACTCGAATTTTAAACTCTTTTATTTGTCGTGATTTAATGAAGAGTTAGACAGATGTATAACCCCACCTCAGATACTCTAAATCAGGGGTGCCCAAAAAGTAGATGTACTTATGTAATTATTTCACCTCTTTACCTCTTTCATCTACGCCTGGTCTTGTGTCACTGTAATACAGGTGGTACCGGACATTAGAGCTCACTGACAGTATTTCTCCAGCGTTGACTTTTAATGGTTTGGTTAAATTATTGGTGCACTCCCCATCCTGCAAATTATTATATGAAACTGACATTATGGACAATATAATATTATTTATATATAGAGCGAGGTGATGATGTACTAAACACCTGATAATCGACTAGGCATTCAGTAATTCATCAGCTCCTTACAGTTGCAAGAAAAAGTATGTGAACCCTTTGGAATGAGATGGATTTCTGCACAAATTGGTCATAAAATGTGATCTGATCATCAAGTCACAACAATAGACAATCACAGTCTGCTTAAACTAATAACACACAAAGAATGAAATGTTGCCATGTTTTTATTGAACACACCATGTAAACATTCACAGTGCAGGTGGAAAAGTATGTGAACCCTTGGATTTAATAACTGGTTGAACCTTCTTTGGCAGCAATAACTTCAACCAAACGTTTCCTGTAGTTGCAGATCAGACGTGCACAACGGTCAGGAGTAATTCTTGACCATTCCTCTTTACAGAACTGTTTCAGTTCAGCAATATTCTTGGGATGTCTGGTGTGAATCGCTTTCTTGAGGTCATGCCACAGCATCTCAATCGGGTTGAGGTCAGGACTCTGACTGGGCCACTTCAGAAGGCGTATTTTCTTCTGTTTAAGCCATTCTGTTGTTGATTTACTTCTATGCTTTGGGTCATTGTCCTGTTGCAACACCCATCTTCTGTTGAGCTTCAGCTGGTAGACATATGGCCTTAAGTTCTCCTGCAAAATGTCTTGATAAACTTGGGAATTCATTTTCCTTCGATGATAGCAATCCATCCAGGCCCTGACACTGCAAAGCAGCCCCAAACCATGATGCCCCCACGACCATACTTCACAGTTGGGATGAGGTTTTGATGTTGGTGTGCTGTGCCTTTTTTTCGCCACACATAGTGTTGTGTGTTTCTTCCAAACAACTCAACTTTGGTTTCATCTGTCCACAGAATATTTTGCCAGTACTGCTGTGGAACATCCAGGTGCTCTTGTGCAAACTGTAAACGTGCAGCAATGTTTTGTTTGGACAGCAGTGGCTTCCTCTGTGGTATCCTCCCATGAAATCCATTCTTGTTTAGTGTTTTACGTATTGTAGATTCGCTAACAGGGATGTTAGCATTTGCCAGTGACTTTTGTAAGTCTTTAGCTGACACTCTAGGATTCTTCTTCACCTCATTGAGCAGTCTGCGCTGTGCTCTTGCAGTCATCTTTACAGGACGGCCACTCCTAGGGAGAGTAGCAGCAGTGCTGAACTTTCTCCATTTATAGACAATTTGTCTTACCGTGGACTGATGAACAGCAAGGCTTTTGGAGATACTTTTATAACCCTTTCCAGCTTTATGCACGTCAACAATTCTTAATCGTAGGTCTTCTGAGAGCTCTTTTGTGCGAGGCATCATTCAAATCAGGCAATGCTTCTTGTGAAAAGCAAACCCAGAACTGGTGAGTGTTTTTTATAGGGCAGGGCAGCTGTAACCAACACCTCCAATCTCATCTCATTGATTGGACTCCAGTTGGCTGACATTTCACTCCAATTAGCTCTTGGAGATGTCATCAGTCTAGGGGTTCACATACTTTTTCCACCTGCACTGTAAATGTTTACAGTGTTCAACAAAAACATGGCAACATTTCATTCTTTGTATGTTATTAGTTTAAGCAGACTGTGATTGTCTATTGTTGTGACTTAGATCATGATCAGATCACATTTTATGACCAATTTGTGCAGAAATCCATATGATTCCAAAGGGTTCACATACTTTTTCTTGCAACTGTATAAAGGAAAGATTATAGCATATTAAAGGAATATTGAAAGAAAAAGTACAGACAATTAATATGCATATAGTCTATTAATAAATTTAAATAAAGGGTTCCCCTTAAACACTTTCTTTTTTTTGCAAAGAATTATAACTGTAACGTTAAGACAGGACACTTTATAACAATTACACCATACAATCGTCACATAAGATAAAGGGACTAAAAGTACACACTGCAAGATGGGGTTGTTGTTGCAATGATCTCTTCCAGCTCTTGCCAAGAAAACCCCACGTTTAGTGGAAAATTTGTAACATTAAAGGAAATATGTTGGCACCATAACCGCTTCAATTACTAGACGTGGTTATGGTACCTACAGTATACTTTAAACAATATTCTTATAACATAATACATTCAAAGTTGCATTGTCATGATAAATAACAAAACAAAATCCCGAATGTATATAGCATGCCGAGTTTTATGTATATTAAAAAAAAAGGCATGCTTCTTTGTATTTCACCTTATTGTCTGTGATTTCCTTTTCTACAAATAAAATCATGAATTCCTCAGTAGCCCTTGGTAGTAGGGAACTCCAATCACTGTGTAGGGGATGCTGAGTGATGGAAACCTATGAATAAAGTTAGGATCCAGAGCAATATCCAGACATAAGGATACTGAACAATGATGTTGTTGGTTCTATAAATAATTTTGGTCCTTTACACTATATATACCTATTAAATATATAGGCGTAGAACTGGTAAATAGGAATATTGAATAAGGATCGCTCGGTATGAAGTGAATCTATGATTAAAAATGTTGTAATGGCATTTAACTTTAAATATAGAGTTAAACATGTGCCCTGTAACTTTCCGATTTGAGTGTATGCCAAAAAATTTTAAGTACTATTTATATGGCTCTTGAATTCTTGGATGTTAAATCTGAAATCCTTTTAAACTAAAATGATACACCTCAGAATTGCTCAACATAGCCTTGAATTGGGTCTTGTCGGAACTGTACACAACTTAGGAACGAAAGACCGATAAGTTGCAATAATAATGTGCCAACTAACTCGGCAATTCCTTGACAAACATGTCTTACCCCTACATCTAGACCAGGGGTAGGAAACGTTCGGCTACATCTCCCCTGATGCTTTGCCTGCATTACGGCTGTAAGAGCATTATGGCAAATGTAGTCCACAACATCTGGAGTGCGGCAGGTTGACTACCCCTGATTTGCCACACTTTTGGCATATTACCAAATTCTCCCTCCTGATCTATATGGAGTCCAAATGACTACCATTATTTTATTTAAACCCTTGGCCAGTACACTTTTGGTAAGGGGATAAGAAGGGGATACCCTTTTTCTTGAAAAGAATCTGCAGCACCTCCAAAATGCTTAATTACCACCTTGTCACAAGCAGTGACATAGAGACGAGAGCGTAGAAAGCTGTGCCCACCCCCATACGCAATGCACATACAGTAAAAACATGAAGCTAAAGTTGAGCTTTTCACAAACTTAGCTGTAGGCTAGCTGTATTTTCATTTCTGAAATACATAAGGACTTTATGGGGTTCTACTCATTTGCGTCTTTGTGAAGCTTAGAGCATACTGGACTTAAAGAGTTTTTTTTTCCAATGATCTCTGATCAGATGATGAAATATGTCCTGATTGTTAACTACAGTTATGGAACAGTATAGCCAAAAAAGTGTAAGTGACACCAAAATTGTATAAAACAGCTTTTCTTATAGTTCGTTTTCACTCCATCAGGTAAACTCAGTGGGGTTTTAGCTCTTTTGTGGCACAGCAATGGGAACTTACATCGCTAAAATATCAGGGTGGTCTCACTAATACAGGCAGCTCTGACCAGAAATAAATATGACGCACGTTCATAACATCACACCTGACATCTGTAACAAATTTGTTGGGACAGACCCGATTTTGGGTTCATGTCCTGCTGTCTCAAGTTGCTACTCTGGTGTTTTGCTTCTGGGAATACTAGACAAGCATGTGGTTAAACACTCATGCACTACGTGAAGCTAATTCAGGGCATTTTACCTATACAAGAGTTTCTTTAACAATGAGGGTGGGGGTGACTTTCATACTAAGGCAACCTTTGTTGGTTAAACTTAATAGCTATGTTCTTTTGAGGAGGGGGGGGGTCTGCTATTTAGTGAATATTTTTACATTCTGATGGCATTGTTGGAATGTCACATTCCCAGAAATACCCGTATCAGATTCCTTACAAATACCCATCAGTAGGTTATCTGAACATTTCTATTTAAACAAATAAATAGCTAAAAGCATGTACTTTTGAATAAGTATACTACTTCTCATGTATCAATGAACAGCAATGTATATAGAAAATATTTGCTTTATCCTATATATATTTTTTACATTCTTTATTTTTTGTAGTGCATAGATTAACAGGCATGTTGGTAAAAACATTTTACAAGAGATAACACATCATATAAAGTAGTGGGTTAGGCAGAAAATTTGGTGGTACTGCACTTTTCATAATAAAATAGAAAAAAAAATTAGAAAACAGATCTACAGTGTTAGTAATGGGAACTGTGAGGGATTAAGAAATGCTAAAGAAACTGTATAGCTGAGTTGCAGGTAAACACCACTGAGTAGAGGCAGGTGATGCAGTTAAGCAGTTAGAGCACTTGAGTAGAGCAGTATATCCTGACCTTTTCAGACAATATGTATTGTGAGAATTCAGCCAGGCTTTTTCCTATATTTATGTGCCTGCATTGAATTCATTACTGTAAATAATTGTATGTTATTTTTTTAAAATTACTTTGCAGTGATGATATTTACTATTTTTGTACAGGGTGTGGACATTCAAAATTAACAGGTATCATGTAGAATAGATTGTTAGATAGACAGACAGTCACGTAGGGCATTTACCTAAACAGTATTTTTTTTTTAACATAAATTTAGCAATGCTCTAAATGTGAGCATCAATGGGTATGAATGGGCAGGTTGGCTGACAGTCAGCTAGGAATGCCTGATGAGTAAATGTACATACCTCTTTTTAGGCATGTGTGACATTGCTCCCCCCCCCACCCCCCACCTACCCCATCTGATCCTATTCCCTTCTGTCCCAGTAACATACATTCCAATAATGGGAGTTATTTAACATACCACAATCGAATTCTAATATGACAGACACTTATTGGCCTTGTTGGTGAGGTATAACACATAACAATGCAGGCACATTGAGCAAGGGGTGCACATCTGGAGTTCCCTATTAGATGTTGGGAGACCCCAAAATATGCAAATACATTAAACAATATTGTAAAAGATGCAAGGAGAATGGGCAAAGGGTTAAAAAAGCTTGTCTTATGGATACTTATCATTTCCATGTATTCTTAGGGTCTCTTTAAATTTAAAAGGACAATCTAGAGTAGGCATATGAGAAGTCCATGTGAAGAAATTACCCACTAAAAATTATTTGAATAAATTGTACTCACCAGCAGTTCCACTTCAGTCAGAAGTTTTGTGAGATCTGATAGTCTTGATTTGTCGGAAAGCTCCCAAATGGCATTAACTACCCCTACTGAGGCATATCCCTGGAAACGTATCCTGACAACATCGTTGATCTGCATGCCACATATAGCTTGGAGCAGCTTCTCATTGTTGAGGAGATTAAGCCGTCGCTGGGGCACGCCAATACCATACAGAAAAGCAGAGTCTCTCTTCCCTAGTACGCGAACCAGGTTTCTTTTCACTGTCACTTCTGGACGGTTTGGTAGATCTAAGATACGGCCACGGGAATGGTCATTGTCCAGTAAGACACCCATGGAACCAGCAAACACTTTGTGTCTTCCAGCTGTAAATTCCCGGAGAACAATAAAAGGTCGTTGGGGCTTTAGTGTGGAGCTCATCTTGGCAATTCTGGCACCTAAAAGTATTTCTGAAATAATAATGAGATTAATTAATGAAATTTGTTAGGTGTGGCAAGATTTTCCACAGATAATTATCCCTATGTGTGCTTTACAGGTAAATTACCTTCTAGACAAAGCATTCTTCACTATGTTGAGCACGTACCAATCTACTTTCCCACCATTTTATTCTTTATATACATACATGACCCTTTAAATGCTTACAAAAAAAGAAGCATTCTCTGTTGCTATGACAACAAATCAATGTGTTGCACACACTTGTAGGTTACAATTAATCAAGCCCACAAAAAGTATGTATGGATTTTCACACGATTACCCTTTGAAATAATGTGTACTCACGAGCAATAGCCTATAAAATTTTAAAAATAACCTATAAAGGTTCATTTACCCTCACCCCATTGCTGTAGTGCTGGTATTCACCTTGCAGAGAAACACATTTCTCAGTCAGTGCACCATTCTGGTCCTCTGGATCTTTGCAAAGGTATACTAAGTGACAGCCAACTCCATCTTCCTACATTCATACCAAGGCAACTTTTGTTGGACAAACTTCATGGCTACATTCCTATTTAGTGATACATTCTGATGGTATTGTTGGAAAGTTACATTCCCAGAAATACCCGTATCAGATTGCTTACAAATACCCATCAGTAAGGCCTTTGAGCATTTCTATTTAAAGAAAACAAATATCTAAAAGCATGTCAATTTACATAATTATACTTTTGAGGCATCAATGCACAGCAACGTGTACACAAAATCTTTGATTTAACCTTCATTTATGTGCTACAGGTGAATCCATTATTGTAAATACATTGTATGATATTTTTGTTGAAAAATTATACATATGCAGTGATGAGGTTAACGGTTTCTGTACAGGCTGTGAACATTCAAAATGAACAGATAGACAGACAAACAGACAGACAGACACATACACACATTAATTTAAATTTATAACCAAAATATAGTTATATCCAACATATAAACAAGCTATGACATGTTAGAACTGTGCTGCTGAGTGTTATATAAACAGGAAAGTAAATACTAGAGATGGACTCTCATTATTTGTTTTACAAGGTACCCCAATATAAGTTACCTCCGAGGGCAATGATATTTAACAACTCTGGAAATGCCTGTAAGCTATATTTCCTATTATGTAAAATGTCTGCTTGCAGACGCTATATTTTGGTATTTTCTTTAGCATAACTCATGTCATGGCATATATCGGATAGGATTTCCTGTCTATTCACTAACAGCTCAAAACATTATCAAAAGTCAGGCTGTAGCATCCAAGCAATAACTATCGCTGATGTAGATAATTCTTTCAACTTTGTAATTTTTTGCCTGTATTTCTAAATTTGGTTTTCAATTCACTACAAATCAGTGTTTAGCGAATAAACTCTAACTTCACTTAACCAACAGATGTATCCTACTTAAACTCAAGCAATCTTAACTAGTTTATTTTATTATTATTTCTAATAATGCCCAACTACCATCTTCCACGCACCAAAACTGCTACATTTTCTTACAATTATAATTAATATAATTATTTTGTTTCAAACTCTTTTCCCTTGTCCCTGCATATGCACCACACTGTCCATACTGCCCTCTCTCACTGACCCCTTGTCCTAACCGTATAATCCTTTTACCTCTATATTCATATTCTTACTTCTCTGCTTGTGATTCAGTGTCACCGTGCTTCTGTCCTTGTCACTGCTGTTTGATGACAGCTATATTTATACTGGGTGAATGACAGAGATCCGCCCATTGAAAACAAGTCTGGCATTTGCAAACTGGCTACCACCCATAGGAGGTACTAGCCATCAGCGTCACTCTATGGACAAGTCTATGATGAAAAGAAATTGTTGGATATTAATAGGTAGTTAGATGTGTAGGGTGACCCAGAATGAAAGCCCTGTACTATAGGATATTATCAGCTTACAGAGAGCCCTGTAGTAAGATGTGTATTAAATATTTTTTTCCATGTTGAAAGAATCTATGTACACTGCAAGTTGGCTACACGTAGAGGGTTATTCGCCAAAGGGAAAATAGCCAAAATGGAAACATTCTCCCAGCCAGCTATGCTTTCAGTTTCGCTGCTTTGGCCTTAAAAGATCCCTTAAAGTAGGCTTACTGAAATTGCTCCATACATTAATATACACTAAATATCACAAAGATATCAGATGTATTCAGTGTAAATTATAGAGATTTACTCACTTTTCCTCAGTTTCAGTGCTGGTTAGTGAGTGTAACTCTTTGTGTAAAACCCACCTAGTGGCCATCATCCGCTCCACCTGCAATCTATTTTGATTTGCCCTGATTTGAAGCCCATGGAACAGCAAGCTAGGTGGAATGGGCCTTGACAGAGCTAGGAGGCAGGCCTATGGATGAGGTGTGGTTTGATTGGTAGAGGTCAGTTAGGGGAGTGCCCTAAGTTTCCCATATAAAAATAGGACATTTTAATTCAGGTTCCATTTTAATTTTAAATCCCTTACCTGCTGGTAGCTGTTGCTGTCTTCCTGGTGTTTTTTTTTCTTCTTATTTCTTTCAGATGGATTCCTTGGCATGGCAGCGATCTTGGACGGTGTCAGGGCAGCGGTTCGTCAGCACGGAGTGGCATGGATGGAGCAGCGGCTGGGAGCAGCACTGAATATGGCGGGACCGTCTGTGGCGCCGGCGCGCAGGACATCCCGGCGGACTAGGCCGCCGCAACGTCTAAGCCCAGAGTCCGTTGCCGGCGTGGTGCGGGGGCGAAGCCTGTCAGCGGGCATGCCAGGGGCCAGCACGACGAGCGGTAGTGGCCGGGCTTGGACCCGAGGAGGTCGCGGCTCGGGGGCGGCCGCACACCATGGACGTCAGCCAGCCTGGGCAGTATGGCGCCGCCCGGCGGCCGGCAGGAGTTCCAGTTCACTGGCTGCAGTAGGCCCCTCAACTGCAGCGGGCGCTGCTGGGAGCAGGCATCAGCCATCTGGGCGGAGCACACCCGGTGAGTCACCCCCTGGGGCTGTTAAGGCAAAAAGGGGAAGAAAGCAGGGGTTGGTGAGTGTGGCGAAACCGACCTCGCCGCTGGGCATTGGAGAAGACTGATTGCCAGCCTCCTGCCATGTGACTATGGCCCCTGGGATGTATTGCCCTTTAAAGACATGATTTGGGCATAAAGGATTTGTGTTGTGCTGCTGCTGGCCCTTTAAGAACCATCTGGGGACATATTGTGGAGTTACTGGGTGGCCACCATTTCCTGTATCAGAGGCACATGGTGAGAACAATAGATGAAGCACATGGTGAGAACAATGGATGGCGGCCATTTTAACTCACAGACACTGTTTGGACTTTTCAATACGGTGCCATCTCGCCAGTATTTGGTGCACAGAGACATCGTGCAGTGGTTTTGGACTATACAGCAGGGGACACATTATACAGTGATTGTTTTTCATTTAGCCTGTATATGTTCTGCAGAATCTGCATTAAACTGTATCTTCCAAAGTACTGAACGGATCTGGGTGAATTTTGGATTTCTCTGACTGTGATAATTAGATTACCCATTGTGTAAGGTAATTGCATCACAGGCAGAGGGGAGGATTATATGTGGGAGTGTCTGAGTGTATTGTACGTGTTATTGGTTGTTCTGTAAAACCCTGTGGGCAGTACTAAGTTTGTGGATTGGGAATAAAAGAGGCTGTATGTGCCAGTCCAGTCAGTTCCTGCTTAACCCTCAAAGTGAAGTGTCGTCTCATTATTGGGGGAGGATTTATTGTATGCTGTTCCAGTTTGACTGCTAGGAGTGTAAACCTATTCGCATGGTTTTTCCTATTCAGCTGTATACAACATTCAATGCTGAGAGCATTCATATGCTCCTACGGTTCAGTGGTTTTGGTGTCTGCTGCAGTGCTTGGAGTCCTCAGGAAGTGGAGCATCCTTCAACGGAGGTACCCAGTCGGGGTGCCAGGTGATCCGTTACAGTGAGCGAGGCCCCCTCGACCCAGTCAGGTTCCGCTGAGGATGGGGCAGCCAGTAAGGGCTTGGGCAACAGGGAAGTCATAGCACCTGCAAGTGATTCCAGGGTAGGTGGTGAGGCGTCCTGAGCACTCAGCAAGGTACGGCATGGGCGGGCTAGGCCGCAGGCACCCCCTTCCAAAGCGCAGCAGCCACAGATGACAGGCCAGAGTGAGGTGCACAGGGCGCTGGTGACAGGTGGCGGTGTCACAACAGGGAGCAGCATGGCCCCTTCCCGGATTGGCACGGGTACTGGGCGCTGTAGGCCAACAGACCAGCGGGTGGGCAGGGACAGCCGCACTCAGGATAGGGATGCCAGGCCCCCAAGGCGGCGTAGAGCCAACGGGGGGGACAGGAGGGCCTCTAGCCATTGCTCCAGGAGTAATCGGCGGAGCAGGCAGCACAGTAGCAGCGTGGAGTCTGTGGCTGGGCGCTGCTGTGACTCACCCATTAGGGGATCATCCTCACAGGGGAGTGCCTCCAGGTCAGTTAGCGGGGGCTCCCCCGACAGGCGGTGCAGAAGATTTTCGGGTGATAGTTACGGCCACAAGGGTCAGGGTGCCGGGAGTTGCAGGCCACATAGGGAATCACCGGGTGAGGTCAGGGGGGATCGGTGTTCTGATGACGGCCTCCCCAGGTTTGCTTCTTCTGTTCACAGGTCATTGGATGTCGGGTCAGCGGGCCGAAGGAGGCTTCAGGACGGCGGGGATTTCCAAACAGCTTCGCCAGGACCCTCGCACGGCGGAGTTCGGGTAGCAGCCCCAGGATCGGCGGCACCACAGGGTTTGGCTGGTGAGTCCCACAGTACACCACACACGGGAGACTTGTTAGAAGGCTTAAAATCGTTTCTTACATCGTGGAGTTCGGGTTCGGATAGAGGGGCGCCGGTCCCTCTTCCACCTCGTCATCTGCTCAACGGAAGGGATTCTGCTGGCTCTTTAATGAAGGCCAATGTAAGTGGGGCTCCGCATGCCGTTTTAGGCATGAATGCTCCG